CAGCTTGCAAGAAAAAAAAAAAAAAAGGTATTTACCCCTCTTCCCTGAACAAGTATCCCTTCTCACTCTGTGATTTAGATGGGTGTATTCTTAAAAGGGTAATCCTTCATTCTCTAAATAACCAGATTATAAAACAGTAGGCATTGCTAAGGGCAAGAAATCAAACTTGATGGTCTGAAACAATATGGCAACTCCTACAGCACTACTAGTAGTTCATTTCCATGCAAAGTCCTTCAAATAGCTAGATAAGAATTCCATTCTACCTTAGATATCTCTGTCAACAGAATTTGCATTGCATGCAATATTTATTATATCTTACAGGCAGTCCACATGATTTGTCTCACACTGGCATCTGTACAAGCCTTAGTGCATGTCATATTCTCTCTGAGAGGTTATGATTCAGTTTCTCCAGTTCTAGACAGAGTCCTTCAGATGTCATGTGCTCTTTTCATCTTCAGTTTTTGACACAGCTTTCACCTTAGCTTGACATCCTGCTCCCAGCACCCTACTTGGTATTGTTACAACTTGGTACAGTGCTGAATTCTTTCTTCATTGAGGCCTCCTTCTACTGCAGGAAAAGCAATATCCAGTGCAGTCTGCATGCCTGAGGCTTCCTCAAGCCCTAGTTTCTGTTGACAGTGAAATGCCTCGAGTCACATTGATGACGAGAAATGGCCTTGTTGTTTTGGTTTTTGTTTGTTTGGGGGAGTTTTTGGCCTTCCATTTTTTAATTTTTATTTTTATAAACATCTCCTGAAACCAATAGCAAAGGTTGTCAAGGGGCTGATACTTCTTTGTCATATTAGTGACCTGATCCCAAAATTTAGCACTGTAATATGATCTATACCTTACAGAAGTATTGAATGCGCATTACACATAAGAGTTTTTGCCTGATGTTTCTGATGTGTTATGGTTTATGGAGGCCCTTGATGACACTCCCACGACAAGTGTCAAAATCTGATTATCATTTCTTTTGACACTATTTCTATTAAAATGGATAGGCCATCAGAAACAATATTTTTAACCTTGTACTTTTGAGATCTGAGGGTGCACTAGACTACACAGCAATCTGCCAAACGTAATATTATATCTCTAACGTGAATTTTAACCTTTTTGTACACTGAGTAATTTTTATCCATTGTTTTAAAAACAAAAGGAAGACATAATATTTATCTAAAAGTTTAGCTGGCAGCAACAATTATGGTTAATGAAGAAAAGGGACAACGTTTTATGGAAGTTTGTCATTTTGACCTGAGTCAACTGATATATTCTATTTTCAGTGTGGATTTTATGTTAAAATAGCCATAACTTGCTACTATCACAAGTAAAGTGGTTAAGGTTATTGTAAAGTCTCTTTCATCTGGAGAGAAGACATATAAAAGCAAAACAATTTCAAAACTTCCTTCTTTACTATTAAATTCATTCTGGTAACATCCCTCTGCCTAATGCATTATGCATTGAAATTATGGCAATTAAATACTAGATTTTGAATCTTGAGCAATGAGCTATTTTAAAAATTTACTTTGTATTGCAAAGTGACATTTGAAAGTACCTGGCATTATTATGGTAAAATATTTTATTACAAGGTATCCCACTAATCCAACATAAACATGAAGGTAGTTTACCTGGAATGTTTTCACAGAACAACTTAAAGACCAAGATGATAATTATGTACTACTTCCAAGATAAATTACAAAGTTTTAAAAGCTATTTTTTAAACCAAGTTATTGTTATATTAATCCACATAAGTGTTTTTCATATTTGATTTATTTTATTCAATAAGTCTGTCCAGTCTTCAGCTGGGTGCTGGAGATACTATACTAAAAGATGTGTTGCCTTGCTTTTGTTAATTAATAGCTACTGGAATAGTCTTAATAAGCTTTACTTATGTTTTTACTTTAATGACTACCATCACCTGCAAAATACATTATATCCTATCTAAACTGATATTTGATGATAGAGAATCACAGATCTTTCAACAAACAAAGCAGGACCCAGAATCTTTGAAGACCTGGACTAACTCCTGACCCCAACTGAAAGTCTGGGGAAATCCCCCAATAATTCTCAGGGTGTTAATAATAATTTTTAAAAAATAATTAAAATATTATGTACCTACAGAAAACTAATATAACCTAGTGACAGGGGAAGAGTATATGGAAGGTGTGATTTATATGCATATTCACCTACTTACTGATAAAAACTATATATTTTAAGAAATTAGAAAAAACCTTCAGAAGTGCCAAACTTCATATAATAAAAAAAAAATATAAAAAATTTAATCAAATTTCTGTCAGTGGCATCTTTATCATAGCTCTACCTTCTTGCAAAAAGGCCGTAATAAACAGTTTAATAAGAACATGTGTTATGGTTACATCTGGAACATTACAGGCTTAATTCTGTTGCCTGCACATATACATGTGGTACCACTTAGGATGCTCTTGGTGCCTACCCAGCCTCCAGCTGCCATCCCAAAAGGCCACTTAAAGGTTCTGTGTCACATCTGACAACCCCGTGTATCAACACCATAACACATTTGTTAAAAAATAAACCAAAGAGTGCATTATTCAATAATAAGTGAAGAAGTTTACTCTTAGACTTATCAACTTTTACTTGTATAACCAGATTTCATAAATTATATATGAGTCAGTAGTTTAGCTAAAAAATGCCATCTAACATCCTTATAATCTGTAATAGAAACAAGCATAAAATAATCATGCAGGAAATAGTAAGGTAGAGGTTTTACACATCTAAATGCAATCTCTAGTAATTCAGGTTTTTCTCATGCTAATAATAGAACTGCTTAGATTTAGCAGCAGAAGACAATTGCATGTCACAGAGCAGCATAATACAAAATGAGAAACTTTTAATATCTGTGAGAAAAATGACATTATTAGCATTCATAGCATAGCCTATAACGTACTGCATTTCCATTACTTAAGAGTAGCATTTGTTTGATCTACGCAGAGCAATTCTGGATAGGAAGATCTAATTCACAGACACAATCTTATTACAGCATCTGAGACCAACAGGACTATTGCTGCCTTTCCTGTCCACCACAGGACCTCTGGGTATAGACTGTAAGGACACATTCATGTTTAATTATTATGAAAATGTCACATAAAGAACAAGAAGGGAGGTAAATCACTGTACAAAAATTTAAACTGGAAGCTGGTAAGGTTTTAATAACGCTCTGCATGTGAATTATACTTCCAATAACACATAAATGTATTATGAAGCTTTAGCTGGTATAAAGCAGTTTCTTATGGCTTAATGTATTTGAAAAGAGAATGGCTGTACTTTGTGGTAACAGAAATACCGATTATGAATCAAACTTGTAGTTTAATTCACTTAATTATAGATGCAGTTAAGTTAAGGCAAAAGCCATGTTTAAATACTTTTCCTTCAGTTTGTGCAAGTGGAGAGACAATATTCATTTTCTCATACTTACTGTAGTACAGTAATGAAAGCCCAGCCATTTGCTGCACTGCCGTGTGCCCTCTTGGTGTGCCTCCCATTTTAGCTGGACTCCAGCCATACTGCCGGCCACCTCCTACCTCTGCCTCCCGCCATCCACCACACGGAAATGGCGGTTCCTCCGTCACCAGCCATTTCCCCTCTTACCTACCACAGCACCTCCAGCCTTACCTCTGTATCCCAGGGTATCCAACCATGCAAATGTTATGAGCATCTACAAGAGAGAGCAGAGAGGCAATTCTGAAAGAAGCTAACACACTTGGTACTTGGTGCATGAGGTGCCTGTGCCCAGGTGTTGGCGGGAATCTGTGAGGAGAGATCAGGGCGGTCCCACACCTGACACAGCTGGTTCCAACTGGTTGCAGCTAGTTCCACAGCAGCCCCACTGCAGGGCAGAGCTGAGCCCATCACTGGCGCCAGTGGAACATCTGTGGTAACAGACTTAAGAAGGGGAAAAAACTGCACAGCTGTGAGGGAAAAAAAAGTGAGAAATGAGCCCTGCAAGCACCCACGTCAGAGGAAGGAGAAGCTCTGGGTGCCCAAGCAGAGACTCCCTGCAGCCCCTGCAGAGACCACAGCGGAGCAGAGCTGCTCCTGAAGGACTGCAGCCTGTGGAGAAGATCCATACTGGGGCAGGGGAAAATCATGAGCTCTAGGTTACATAAGTTGATAATAGTACATATACTGGGTCTATCACAAGCCATGTGAAATGTCCCTGAAAAAATCCAACCTGCTAAGACCATCGTGCCTCAGCAGGTGAAAGCAACAGCATCACCAGACATTTTGAAGACAGCTTGTGGTGGCATCATGTAAAAAGCTGCTTACTCTTCAGATTCTTCTTCATTTTATTTAATCATGAAGAGAGGATGAGCAACTCTGTTTTTCCAGTACAGTCACTGCAATAAAAAAGTTAAAAAAAAAAAAAAAACACACCACACCAAAACCCTGTGTTATTGTACTGGGTTCTAGCTACAGACTAATATCCCTCTGCAAGGTAAATTAACATATTAAGGAGTATTTGGAAGAAGAAGAGATTCTTATTGTATTGCAAGATATTTTTACCTCATATACATGGAAGCATTGTTCTGTGAAAAAAAGACCTTGTCACAATCCGGACTGCATGGGAGCCATGACAGACCCTGACAACTCAAGTTTTGTCCTGACTGCACTTTTTAGAATTTAAATAGCAGTCTTCAGCCTCAGCCTCCATCCCAACATGTGCTTTAGCTGGAAGGGAGCAAGAACATCCAAAATTTACACAGACCCACCCCTTTGGACCTTAGGACAGCTGCCAACCCTTCAAAAGCCACTGCTATTCTGTTCCCACTGCTCCACCTCTGAGAAGGCAACCACAATATTTCATGTACATTTAATATTAAACATGAAATATTAATTACCCTTTCCAGCTTTAAGTTGTTTAGTGTTCTATCTCAAACCTCAAATTGGCACCAAAAAACTCCTATACAACTAAAGATTTCAGTCCCTAAACCCATGAAAACTGCAGATAAGTGAAGTGTTTCACAAGATCGCAATTAGAAGTTTATTTGCATTGAACATAATCAACCGTCTTATATGCTAAATTATCTTGTCATTACAGTGGTACAGGAACTTTTTAAGAAGTGTTAAAGGATTCGAGCCCACATTATCTCATTACTCGTGTACAATCTGCCAATAAATCAACATACTGCATCTAACTGGAAGTACCTGGCATATTCTTTCTGTCTACCCCAACAGTAAAACTCACTTTAACATCCTCAAGCATTTCAGGTCCCACACCTCAACTGACAATGCAACACAGAGCCCTCACTGCAGCATCCTAGTTCTAAAAACCCACGAGAGTACAAACTGGCCCCAGCCCATTGGCCAAGCATACTGGCCTTTAGGTCACTCATCTGGCTGCACTGCCTGCACAGCCAGCCTTGCCCATGACAATTAGGGCACCCACAGCCTCTGACCACCTGCACAAGGGGAAGATAGACAGCAAATGGTCTATGGAACAAGGTGAGCTAAAGCAAGAACTCAACCCACAACAAAGGTGGAAGATGCATGTTGAGGCCCAGCTGGAATGATGCAGGAAGCATGAGTTGCACAGCACAAAGGCTCAGCCAGGGCATCCACCGCGGAATGGCAGCATGAAGAAAGGACAAGAGTGCTGTGAGATGGGGATGCACAGCAGAGTAGGGCTGATGGACAGCCCCGTGAACAAGGTGTCCAAGGAAAGGCTGGGACCAGCCTGCAAAACCTGCGTTCCATGTGTGCTACCACAGGAGGAAAGGGCTGAACCTGATCACCCCCTATGCTCACAGCCACTCCAGCTGGGTATTGCCACCCAGTCACTGGGGAACAGAGCCTGCAGGCTGGGTGAGGATGCCCGGAGTAGGTCTGGTGGAGGCTCTGGGAGTCACAGAGCAAGGAATCACACCTCAGTGATCATCTGCCCCAGCGGTGATGTTTTAGCATGCCTGCTTTAGCTTGCCAGCACCCTCTTTCCCAGGCATATGGGCACAGAAAAGTCATTTTTCAGTTCCTCCCCATGGTGGACAAACAGCTTAAGTCCAGCTCAAAGGATTAGAAGGTGGTGCTTAAAAAAAGAAAAATAACTGACACACACATGGAGAGTCTGAAAGACCAGAGATAGTGCCAGGAACAGCCCGCAGTGAGGGGAAGGGTCTCACCTTCCAGACTCCAGCCCCAGCTTCAGCAACTTCTATCTACTCAGACTTCTTTGAAGAACCAGTGTGCCAATACATTAAAAATCCCTTCTTACAGTAAGCAACCTCTAAATAATTCTCGCACTTCTGTCTTCTAATATTGCTTCCTCTAAAACTCTACCCCTCAAGCCCATAAAACCAACAAACAAAATAAAACAAACACCACTTAAAAAAAATGCATTTTGAAATCCTACTAAAATCTGTTTTCTGTTATGCTAACCACTGGCTAGTCAACATCCTTCCCTCATTTTAAGGGGAGAAGCTGCCAAGTGGCCTTTAACTTGCCCAAACTACAGAGACTTTGTTACAGAGACACTCCCCTGCAAAAGACAAGTTCCAGCTGAGTGTTGGTATTTCACATTACGCCTGCATGTTAAACATTTTAAAATATATATGTCACTTAAGCTTTAAGCAATGTGCTAAAAAGCTTCTCCTTTATTAAAGCTTCAAAAAGACAGTATATTAGTACTGCTCATCTCTGCTTTTGCTGAAACAGGTGAAGTTACAGCTCACTTCCCATGTCCTTGGCCAGTATTCTCTATTGCACATTCAACTTCCATCTTATTGGTCAGATGTGTTGTTTTCAGCAGAAGCTCTGTCCCATTTGAGCAAGCCTCGTGTTTAAATGAGATGGGCTCCCATCAGCACCCATTTCCTCTCATCCCTTCTTGCTAATGGGGTAATGGATCTTCACAATTCCTGTAGTTCCATAACTATGGATACAGGATGTAGGACTTCCTCCTATTTTGAAACAGTGCCAGCTCATCTTGGAAGGTTAAAAAAATAATAATTAAAAAAAATCGCATGTTATTATATGAAGACTAATAAAAAGGCTATGCATCAGCATAACAAGCAATGTTTAACTCTTATAGTTCTGCTTGTGGGAGAAGTTATGCAAAGCCTCCTGGTGGTAAGCATCTGGAAGGCAAGAACATGCCAGCATGCTCTGAAGTGATAGCCCAGCTCCTGGCAGCTCCTCGCTTGCAGGAGAATCGGGCATGAACTCCAGACACTTAGCATTGCTTCTCCGTGTGTCAGCAGCTCTTGTGAACAGATCCAATTCATCCAGGCAAAGAGGACACACACCTTCCAACTGTACTTGAAGAAAGACACACAAGTTTCAGTCTACATATGTGGAGAATAAAATGCAACAAGGTAGACAGAATAGAACCATAGGAAGGTCCCTCAGGCACATCCTTGTTCAGTCATTTTATTTGCTAGAGTTGCTTTTATGACACAGAAGTACTCAAGGCTGTGGGCCCAGAAGAGGGACTACATAAGCCTTCCAAACTTCAGAGGCACAAGACAGGGATACTCCTACACATCCAAAGTCAGCTGAATGGAGCAAACACCAAAAAAAAAGTTCCTTTGAATTTATCTGTTATCAAATATACTCAATATTGCTGCAACTCAGCAGTTTGTGCAGATATGTCACAAAAGCCAGAATAGCATTCTCAGCTGCATTTCCAGTTCTCCTTCTCATCAGCACCTGAATTGGTATGTAGTGAATCCTGTTAGGGAGAGAGAAAAAAAAAAAAAAAAAAAAAAAAAAAAAAATCAAAGATAGAGATATCTTATGTGCCCACTTCCCCTTCAGTCCTTACTGGAAAAGAAGGATCAAAGAATCCAAACCCATCCTTTCACCCACATGGGCAGGTAGTATTATACAATCCCAGCACTACAATAGATATTTTACCAAGAGCTGCCCCACCACATTCCCTCTATGCAGTTCTCTCTCTCCTGTCACTACAAGCTTTATTTTGATTTATCTTGCTTAATAAGAAAGAATATCATCTCAATGCAAGCATCTCTCATCCTGGTTGCACAAGTCAGGCTTTGATAGAAATGGATTTTTCTTTACCTGGGTTATTAGTTGATGACGTCTCAGCTGTCTATAGAACTGCAACACAGAAGGATCAGCTTTCACTACTTTTGGATCAAAATCCAGAACACGGAGACCTGCAAGGCTACGGGCTCGGGAGAGGGCTACATATGCCTGCCCACTTTCAAAGACGCGAGATAAGGAGATTTCCACACAATCTAAAGACATGCCCTATCAAAGACATGGAGAAGTTTGTTAAAGAACAAAGAACACTGTGCTGTATCAACACTAACCTGCCCTGTAAGTCTGTCAAAGGCATCATCCTTGGCATATGGACTTGATAAAAAAAAAAAAAAAAAAAAGAAGTGTCTTGCTTAACTATGTAACTGATTAAAACATAGGGATCAGTAGAAAGAAAAGGACAGTTTTCCACTGTCATGGAATTGCTAGCAGACAGTAGGGTCCAAAGTCATTCCAGTGAGCCTCTCATTGTGTGAAGCTCCACAAATCCCATATAATCAACAGAGCAGGGAAAGAAGTCTTGCTGTTTTCACTCCCAGTAATTAACCGGAACAGCCACCAGCCTCTAAGCAGTCCTCAGGCAGACCAACTGAGACAGTTAGGCCTGGCAAGCCCTGTCTGCACCAAGAGACATCCCAGGAGGCAGCAGAATTTACAACGTAGCTCAGTTTAAGCAGTGGCATGGGAACAAACTCACGGGTCTAACACCAAGACACGTTTTTATCAAAGTGTATGAGGTCTTCTGGAAAGGTAAGAACTGTATTAGTTACGTTGAAAAAACTCACCACACATCACCAAAGGGGGATTTCAGCCCAAAGAGCACAGCTGTGACTCCTACAGCTTCCTCAGGTACACTGCAAGCCTCGAGGTCACTAATGCCAACTATCAGGGAAGCACTACCCTGATCAGCCCACAGAGGTAAATAATTCTGCTTAGAGTCTAACAACAACTATGCAGATGGTAGCACCCTTACGGAAACTCCAGCAGTATTGCTAGCCCATCCTTGATCCTATAGACAAGCATCATAAGCAGAAGAGATGCTGCCTTCTCTGCAGCTACACACACATATTCTAGAGGTCCCCCACAAGAGCCTTTCAGTTTTCCCTCCTGTTTTAAGCAACAATGCAAGCTCACCCAGGAAATAAGGCTTATGATGGTGTAAAAGTCTACAGACAGCTGTATAAGAACACCCACTTGACTCTTGTGAATGGAAATGGCCCATGCCAATTTTAAAGGCAACTGTTGACGACTCAGATGAACTCCTGACAGTCCTTTGAACACCCATTTCTCCATTTTGATGGCCTGTGTGACCCCGCAGAGAAACCTCACCTTAGGCAGCCCTGTAGGAATGGGAGCAGGAGAGAAACAAGGATGTATTCCTGACACTCAACAGCCAGAAAGACATAAGTCTAACACTTTTTTTTTCCCCCTGCCTTCCCCATAATAGTCTTTCATAACTTTTAGGGCTGCATTAAAGAAAGAAAATCCCACACAACAAAAAAAAAAAAAAAAAAAAACAAAAAAAAAACACCAACCACACAAAACACCAACACAAAAAAACAAACAAACAAATATACAACAAAAACCTAAATCCACACACAGTAAATAGGATGCCCCAAAATGGTGTTTGGGACCTACTTAAGCAGGAGAATTGAAGTCAGGTAATTTGTCAGTTGAGATGCAAAGAAAAATACATGTTGCAGGTAGAACATTATTCTCTGAGAAAAGCAAACAAACAAACCAACCAACCACCAAGACCTCCTTCAACAGAACATACAGGAATAACAACCAAGCATACACTTCTAGAGAATAAAGAGAAGCAAACATAAGAGGCCTTACAGATAGCTAGATAGCTACAGCTGATGCAGCACATGACATCACAGCTCATGAGAGCCACAATCCTCTCACTGCAGAGAAGACCTTCCTGCTTTCCATCAAATTATTCTTACCAAGCAGTAAATAAAATGAACAAGTCAGTCATCAATGATTTTTTGTTGTTGAAGAAAGGGGAGGAAAAAACAAAACAAGAGATCAAAAAATCTTACTTACCCTTTTGTTCACTTTCAAATCCTACAACGACTCCTCGTGCCCCATTCACCAGCCCTTGAGACACATCCAGATTCTTAGCTAGCATCACCTACAGAGAAGAAAAATTCCTAAATGCACTGGTTTTACAGCCTGTTCAGCCACCTGCAGCTAAGCTTCTAGCCAGGAAGGATAAGCAAACACCACATCATCCTGCTGCAGGATAGAGCACCTTCTCCAATTTGATTGAAATTATTTCACAGCCTTTCCTCCCTAGGATTCCCAACTACATCATTTTGCAGTACTGAACACTTGAGCTGCTTCTGTCCACAGCTGTGAGCTCAGATCCAGGGAATAGAGTCTCCTTCCCCAAACACCAAACAGCCAAAAAGTCATAGCAGTCACCACTGCCCACAAGACATGGGCCTGCATTCAAATCAAACTAATTCTCTCTCTGGATAAGATTCCAAGCAGAAAGGATACCAAGATTGGGATAGTCTTCTGTTGGCCTGACATGGCTGTTCTATACAGAATCTGCATTCTATATATTAACCTACACTACATCTATCTGCTATTCCTTTATTTTTCTTATGCCACTTGATCCACTGGTCTTTCATAAATGTATGTTCATACACTTACCTGAGCTCCAAGCTTTAGCTCAACTCTACCACCCACAGGACACTGAGCATCAATTAACTTCACTAGCATTGGGTCACTGTCCAAAGCCTCAAAAGTGTGCACTTCTCCTGTTAAGGAAAGAAAGACATAACAAATTGCAACTATTGAATGTATTCTACACAGCATTTCAGGAGGCTCTGCATTTATTTTTAAGAGCAATTCCTATTTTAATATCCATTCTGCTCTGCTGGTAGGACATCTTCACACAAACCTTGCCACATCTAACAGCAGAAAGCTCACCATTGCCTCTCTTGCCAGCATAACTCCCAGAGCACTAGAAGAACGGAGCATTCACCATTTTGAACATATGACCAATTTCACTTGCTGCCAACACTAGATCTCTGAAGAGGACTAAGAAAGAATCCTAGTGCCAGACAGGGAGGCAGAAATTAAACAGCCCTTAATTCAGGTCACGGCTGGATAAAGCACTGCCTTTCTGAGATGCTAGAGAAAAAAAAAGCAGAGGCATGAAAGCAATAAATGACTCTCCCTACCTCACAGCAAGCAAGGAGCTTGCTGTCTATTACACACCAAGAAGTAATAGTGTGGATTTTTAAGCAAAAAGCTGTGAAGTTTTTCCCTAGGCAGATCAACTCCAACACACACAGCCTGGACTAGTGCTGCTGTGCGTGACAGAACTCCAGTTCCTCATGACACCAGAGTATCCCCACTGCATCCACTCAGAGCTCAGCCCGAAGCCAGCAGTTTCCTCCCAGTAGTTCACCTGACAGCTGTTGCAAACATCTCTCATTAGTTAGTTCTACATCATCTTTATGGGTGCAGAGTCTTGTGGCCAGGATCCCATCACGCTCAGACCTGTTAGCAGCAGTCTGCATCAGCTGTCTGGTAACCTCCTCTGTGCACCTGGTAACCAGGAAAAGGGGATTATTATTTAAAGTGATCAGAAACAGGTTTTGAGCAGCAGTAACCTCCGCACAGCTGGATCAGGCTGTGCAAGCCCCAGGCCTCTAGAGAGAAGGACAGAGAAAGCTAACTACACAAAGTTGGAGAGTAGTGCAAGTGTGTGCCCCAGCCCTGCCCTGGCCATTACCAGCTTGGGACCCATTGAATTATTTTGTAGAAGTTGCAAAGAGGGTCCCCAGAGTAGCATATATGAAACATGCTTACATTAACTAAAGCATTTATAGCTATTGTCCCCAGCCACGCCTTCCTGACAGAGCCTGGAGAAGTAACAAACCCCTCTTTCCTCTGGTCCATCAGTAGGGAGCAGAAGTTACAAATAGACCCTCATTTCTCCTCACCTGCCTAAACGGACTGCACTCAGGAGTGAGATAAATGTCTTGTCAGTTTGCCGCCGCACTTCAGTCAGTTCCATGTTTATGTGGATGCATTTCCTCCAGCTTTTTGCCTGGAAAATCATTGTTTTGTTAAGAAAGAGGCAGAATTCAAGTATGAGAATGAGTTTAGGGACAGTTTCGCACCTGGAAGCAGAACTTGGTTTCTTCATTAGCCTTACAGACTGGGGGTAGCTGCAAGAAGTCCCCACAGATGATTAGTTGAATTCCTCCAAAAGGCTCATCCCGCTTTCTGATTGCCCTGAAAGGGAGGGAAGAGAGGGGAAATTCTGAGTGCCCTCCAGGACCTGGATATAGTCAGGTCTCAGAAGTTACTTCTTAGTCTGTCAGCATATTCAAGCATATACCACCTGCAGTAAAAGATTATTATCCTCAGCTATGTCAGAAGAGCTCAAATAATTAATCAATGCTATCACAAGACATAAAATCTGCTTTGCTTACCCACCCCAGATGTCATTACCAGTCTTGGTTCTTTGGTAGCTGTTGTACCACAGCTGCTTCTCTCTGCAAGAGAGAACTGCTGGTCACAGCATAAATAAACAGCTGGATTCTGGACTCAGTTCTATAGACAACACTTGGCTCCAGAAATAGAAACAGCAACCAGAACAGCCACAGCTAAGGAGCAGGGGACGTAATCAAAACCTATCTCAAGATAAAGATCTGCCCAGATGCTAGATATGATTTCATGCTTCCTTCCAGTCCCATGCCAGTAGTTGCCTTGTATCCAGGCACATAACCAGAGGAAGGAAACAGCCTGGAAATGTAGGGGTATTAATTTCTCTTAGCTGTTTGACCTGACGATCACTCACCTCGCCACTGCCTCCAGCCTGTCAAAGAACTTGCCATCCACCATGGAGATCTCGTCGATAATTAAGTGCTGGCAGGCCAGCCAGTGCTGGCGCACCCCAGGCCTCTCCGCCAGCTGAATACACTGTTCCAGCGGTGCCTTCCCAGAGCCGATCCCTGGCAGGGGAGAAAGCAGCAAACCTTCGAAGCTAATAACTGAAAGCTACGAGAAGCTCCTGCCTCTTTGGGAAGGGAGTGAGAGGTCCCAGCCCCTCGCTGTCAGGCAGACTATTACCTGCAAAGCTGTGGAGAGTGGTACCACCGATGTGGCACGCCGCCACTCCCGTGCTGGCGGTAGCGTAGGTGCTCTTCGGAGGGAGGGAGCCCACGATCTTCTTCAGCAGGAACGACTTCCCGGTCCCTTGGCGGAGGGAGAAGCAGCGGCTCAGCCGCAAGGCCCGAGGGCTTTACTCGGTGGCAGCCACCGCAGCCCCCCCTCACCTGCGCAGCCGGTGAAGAAGACGCTCTTCCCGCTCCGTACGGCGCCCAGCACCGCCTCCTGCTCCGCCGAGAGCCTCGCCGTGGGCCGCCGCTCCGTGCCGGGCACCTGCGGGGCGGGGGGCGGCGCGCCATGAACGGGGGCCGGACCGGGACCCTGGGCCACCCCCCTCACCCCGGGACTCACCTCCGCCGGGCGCTCCCTCCGCGCCAGCAGGTCCCGCTGCTGCAGCGGGCTGATGGCGGCGAAGGCCGGCGGCGGCCGGTCCAGCAGGCGGGAGCTGCGCGGCGCTTCCCGCGGCCCGGCGACCACCTTGAGCCGCAGGAGGCGGAGGAAGCGGCGCAGCGCGTCCGGGGGGCAGTCGGAGAGCAAGATTTGGGCGCCGCCCGGCCCCACCCGCACCGCCGCCCGCCCTTCGCCCGCGAACCGCGTGAAAAGCCGCACGGCATCCCCGGCCAGCGCGAAGCTCAGCGTCGCCGCCGTCGCCCCCCCGCCGACCACCCGCAGCACCGGCTGCCGCAGCTCGTTGCGGCCCAGCAGCACCAGCGCTCCCCGCATCACCCGGCGCCGCGGGGTCTGCCCCCCCGGCAGCGGCTGCTCCACGGCCACCGTGCAGCGCAGCTCCGCGGCCGCCATCCTGCCCCCGCCGCCGCACCGGCCGTTCAAACCCGCCGCACGCAGCCGCCGCCAATCAGCGACAGGGGCTTTAAGGCAGCGGCCAATAGGAAGCGGGAAGGAAAGCTGCCAGGGAGGCGGGGCGGAGCACCAGCCGGGCCAACCAGCAGCCTCGCGGGGGACCACGTGATGCGTTGCCAGGCTACGGGACGCCGCGTAGCCCGGCGGGGCCATGGCCGCCCGCCGCGGGGAGAAGGAGCCGCTGGACCCGGTGCGGCAGAACCAGCTCCTGTGCGAGCGGGTGCGGAAGGAGCTGCAGTGCCAGAGGCTGCACACGCAGTACAGCGTGAACCCGCTCCACCCCGGTGAGGCGGCGCGCCGGCGGCCCCACGGCCACAAAGGGGCGAGGCAGGCCTTGCAGCGAGCCGCAGGGCTGAGGGACGGCTCCTGGGGCCCGGCTGCGTGGGGCAGCGGCAGGTCCCGCACACTCAGTTGCGTGACCAGCAGCCGCACCCAAGAATGCCAGCAGTGGCTAGCGAGAGGGGTCAATCTGGAAGGAGCGACCAGTGGGCTTTTGCTTTGACTAAGGAACCAGTCTGCACCCTCAAAGACAGAATGGAGACGTGAGCAATCTGCTCAGATTAGATGGTGCCTTAGTAAACATGTAGAAGTGAGGCAACTATCTCGGATCTGGAATCCATGGATCCTAAGCGAACAACAGAGCTAAGATGGGGTAGAGAGCCCCAGTGCTACACTAAGTTTCTTCAGCCCCTGGGCTGATTTCTACCAGCCAATTCAGTCACAGAGTATCATAACCTGCTGAGATGGACAGGTGATATGAATAGATTCACTCAGGTCTAGCTTTTACAATAAAACAAACCAAAGGAAAATAATTTCCTGAAATTTGGCACTCTGCAGTCCAGCACTTGGGTGGGGTGGAACTTTGCTGTGAGGAACGCAGGCAGCATCCAGTAGACAGGCCGTTAGCATGCTTAACCCCCTTTCCCTTTCTAGGAAGTTGCTATTAGTCAGAACCCTCATTTTGTTCTGTTCACAGGCTGTTCTTCCTTTACAACTTCAGTGAAAGAGCTGGGCCCGGACCAGGGAATAATCAGAAAGAACACCTGAAATGATATATATCCTCTACCTGGCTGTGATGCTAAATTCACATTAATTTACCTACATCTTTTCCTTCCAGTTCACACGATCACCAGGAAACCTATGTCTTGGCATGATAATATAGAAGAGCCAGCAGATGGTAAGAAGTCTCAACAACTTGTGATAATTACATAAGAAAATGACTAGTAAGATTATAAAATTCCAATTAGTCTAAAAGATGACACACACATAAACACTCCTGTGACAATATAAGAAAGTTAAACTCATTCATGATTTTTCTTAAACATAAGACAGGGTTTTTTCCCACTTGAAGGCCCTTTCCCGTTACTTTTCATTATCAATACAAGCTTGCATTCATGCAATTATGGTTTTGGGGTTTTAGTTATCATACTATAAAATCCTGCTTGAGAATCTAAACCTCTTTCAGGGGAAACAAAAAAAAAAAAAATCTAGAAACATGTTTTATACATACGTGTTGCCAGTCATTGCAGATTCTACCTAACCACCACATAAGGTAAACTGCTAAAATAGCTGCTGAGTCTTGCTTTAGAGCACTAACAGCAACCCATATAGCAACTGCTCCCTTATTTCTAACACATCATTTTCATCTAAAAACCTTAATAGTCAGTTAAGGTTGGCCTGTTCTAGACAAGGATTAGGGGTGAAAGAAAACCAAAACAGGGAAAGGCAGCAGGTCTCAGGCAACTGAGAAAGATGAGAGCTCACATGGAGCACTGGTTGATAGCAGATGCAGTATAAGAAAACTAAGATGCTGCAATAGAGTAAACAGGGATGACAGAATTAACAGGACAGTATAGGCAGGCAAATCTTGAAACTTCATCACAATAAATCTGAGTAGAAATGTCACCCTGCATCCTCTTACCAGGTCATTTGTAGAAATACAGAGGTTGGCTTTCTTGCTATTGCTTGGACAGCGTTAGGATGTCCCATTCTAACACACATCCACAGGTGACTGATTTTTAAACATGTTTTCTCTCATTTGTGTTTGTGTCTCTTAAACCAACAGCCAAGTTTCTGAATCTTGTTCACCATGCAGCACTGGAGCCAACAAAGAAATATTCAGAGCCACAAACTGAAAGCCAAGAAATTGGCTGGAATACAACACCTTTGGTGAGTAGGGTGCTTAAGGACTCAGCTCATTGTAGGATTCAGAGAGGTTCACCCATCACACTGAGAGATATTCATGCAAGAAATTAATTTTGTGACAAACATGGAAAACAGGAATGACTAGGAATGAGCACAGCTGTTCATGGATAACAAGTTTTTAAAATTTACACCTAAGAGGACTCTTCACACTGACATAGGCTTGTGAACACAGAAACAGTAAACTTCCCCTGAGAAACTTGTATGCAAAGTATCTACAGTGACAGTCAGCCCCAAGCATATTGCCAAATACCACATATGTAGTCATGGCTGTTTATTAAAGCATTCAGCCATGAGAAATGATGTAGCGAGCAATGTGAAGTGACATGCATAAATACTGTGAAAGAAACGTGCTGCTGTACAGTATCTTTCAAACAAATCATAAGAACCATAAAATTAATGATCAGCAAAGTATACCCAAGGCAGAATATACCAGTGAGTAGTCATGTGGGGAAGTGTGAGGAGAAAAAGAAATCTTATTAACAAGCAGAAATATCAACTGTATATGACAAATAGCTGTGATAATGACTGACTTTAGATTAGTGTTTCGAGAAAGGCAAATGAGGGCCTAATCAATTTTGGTCTTTTACGAATAAAACTAAGATAAATAAGAAAATAAGACTGTCTTCTACAACTTTTCATATTACGCTTCAGGTAAACTAGTTACTCGTGACAAGGCTAGAGACAGACATCCCAGCAGGGCTTCACACTGTTAGATACGGGTGGTAGGATTAGACTGGGAAGAGGCAACTCAATTCATGTGTAGGGAAGTGAGTTAAATTTATAGAGTCAGGACTCATGATGCTGTTTCATATGTCAAGTTTTCCATTTCTACCAGGTTCTATCATAACACAGCAGCAAGCAGTATATTCTCAAATGAGTGGTACCCTGCTCGTTTTTCACTTGGGCATTTCTCGGCAGCAAGAACACCATGTGTCACTTCTCAGGAGGGGCTACTACTACTAATTCTACTAAAAGCTCATGACTATTAATCATTTTTCTTTCCCAGATTCCTATGGACCGTACTGATCGCAGACTGTACTTCCCATGCCGGAGAACAGAGATCACTAAATAAATGGCTGCCATGGGGCACGGGGAGGAACAGATTGGCAGTACAGTTAATGACATCTAAGGGCGTTAGGCCAGTCCGGTAGATTTCTGTCAAGAGAAGATAGCGAGAAAAGGCAATAGAGGACCTCAGTCTGTCCAGGTTTGCAGCCTGACCATAGTTACAGAAGTAAACCTATTTATAAGATTGCTGCATTTGTCTCACTGCTATATAAGCCCACTTATATAGCAAAAATACTTTAAAAAATACTTTAACATCTTGAAAGGCTTCAGAGTTCTTATTTTGACATTGACAACACGACCCAGAACTCAAGTTCACCAAGTACACGTCAACAGTAGCTGTGGAAAAAACTGTCAGAATGAAGGAAACAAAGGGCAGGCTTCAGCCACCATTCATAACACAGCTAAATGTGAATGAGACATTGTTCTGTGCAAACCATTTAATGCATTCACACACCAAATGTTTAAGAAGGAAACAATCCTTCACAAAACTGACAGCAAGAAGAAATTAGTGATAAGGCACTAGTCTCCACTGACTTTTTTTTTCTAGCCACTTGGAAACATCCAGCTTGTTCCATGGTTCGCTGCTTGATGACAGCAGAAACATCTTGCAACACGCAGAAACACATCTTGCAACACGCAGAAACACATCTTGCAACACGCAGAAACACAGGAAGCCCACTAGGGAGCACAGAACTCTTATCGCGCTCGGCTCTTCATTTTCTGCCTTGCTCTCTTTCCAGGTCTCTTCTGCAAAAAAAACGACAGATTCAGATCTTTATTTTCATGTCCTCAATCTTTGTTCTAGCTTTATAGCTTGGGGGGATACCAAGGAGAGGATATTTGTCAGTACCTCTGGAGAGGGAGGTTTTGGGACACAGATAGCAACAAACAGTACTTGTTAACTCCCCCACCTCGTTTCCCTGTTCAGACACCAAACTGCTGTCCTTAACTCTGCAACTGAATTATGTTCGGTTCCCAGAGACAGACACTGTCACTTCCAGGTGCTGGAGGCACGCACCATATACTCATTTCTCCCTCGCAGACCAGGGCTGGCTTCCTAGCCAACCAGGGTCATTTGAATGTGACATTTAACTTACGTTGAGAGCTTTTTTCCCTCCTTTTCCCGGGCCTTTGTTGTGAGCCACTTTTGACCGGAAGCTGGATACATCGTTAAAACTCTCCTTTGTGTTCCATTTTGAGCCCTTCTTCTTCCCACCAAAACCAAACTTCTGATTCTTGTATCGCCTTTTGGCATTTGGCCTGAAAAACAATCAAACAGCATCATTGCCTATACTCCTTTCCTCAGGAAGCTCTAAAGGCGGCACATGTATCTGCTGATAGACTCCCATCAGCCATCATAAACCTTTCCCCTCTTAATGAAGAGACAGAAATTAGCACATTTCAGTCTCCATTCCATTCTGACCACGGTCTTCCTCCTCTCTAGGGACAGAAAGCCACCTCAGACTTATTTTAATGAACATTAATCAGAACAGCTTTCTTGTTCCACAAAATGATCCACAAAAGACTGAAAAAATTAGAGATTCTGCATTTAAATACCACTCTTTTCTGGCCTCACCCCTTCTTTATCTGTTGACTTGCATTGCCTTTTTTATTCCCCTGAGAAGACGTCTGCTCTTCATCTAGAAAATCCAGCTTGTCAGAGAGACCTGCATGAGTGAAGACATAATAGTTGCTCAGCTACCACCACAGAAAATACAAATTTTCAGTCTAAGCAAGTAATAACAAGTCACCCTCACTGAAGAACAGCTACTTGGGAGGATTTTCACTGCCACTAGCATATGATTCTGCACCACAGCAGCCTTTCAAGCTCACTGTCCAGCACTACAGATTGACATCACACATCACACTGCCTTACACTGCTCACACGTCACTATTCCCATTACAAATATTCTCTCTTAGACAAGTTAACTTTACCTTTCTGGTATTTCTTGACTGCATTCAACATATTTTTTTTCTCCTTTTGTCTCCTCTGCAGAATCTCAATTTGCACCTGAGATCAGAAGCATAATGTTAGTGTTGTTCCCTGTAGTGTCCTGTCTTTTTTTTTTTTTTTTTTTTTTTTTTTTAAGGTATCCCATCTTTTTCTGTTTTTCTTCAAAGCAGCTAGACAGATTCCATACATTTTAGCCAGACTCCTGTGGTCTCACTTTCTAAACTCCTCACTCAGTCTCTAGATTGTCAGACAGGTCCCTTTTGTAGCTCCCCCTCACCTTCTTGCCATATTTTCTCATTGCACGGAGCTGTTTTGCTTTCTCAGACCTCTCCATTGCTTCCTGTTTACTCTTAAGCTTCTGTCGAATCTTATTAGGGGATAGAAAAGACAAAATTTATCAGTAACACAAAAGAAAATATGAGAATTTTACGATTGCTGTGAATTCCTGAAATCAATAATCAATGAGTGTAAAAACAAAAACATCTCTCAATCACATAATGCTTTATAAGACATAAAGTTGTTTCAACTTGAGGCTGGAACAGTTATTACAGAAACTTCTGAACTGATCCATAGCCAAAATCTGGTTAAAAAGACAAAACTCACAGAGATAAGACAAAGCCTTATAAGGGGCTCTAATGGAACTGCTAAACAAGAGTATCTTGTCACATCTCGTCAGTCTACTGTAGAAGACTTGATAGTTTCTTTCCTGTATTAAAAGTAAAGCACTGAAGAAGAGTCAACAATCCTTCAATGCCATAAAAAACATAGTTTTCATTCCTTCCTTGTTCATGAACATTTCTGTAAGGATGCTGCATTACAAGGGACTACAAAGATTTCAACACATATCTGCTGGATTCAGTCTGTGACTCCATTAAGTGATAAAAACTATGTTCTTCAAACAGAAGCCAGCAAAAGAAGGTAATGGTAACATGCAGGACTGACTTAAGCCTCAGAACAAGACAATTATTAATCTCCATCTTCTCTAAGACAATTAGCCATTAAAACAGTGACGAAGTCATACATGAACCTCCAAATTAAACTCCAGTTCATGTTTGTTTAACTTATACAATGTAGTATTATCTTCCAAAACTAAAATTCGGGTTTTGTTTTGAATAACAACCACAATCAAGAAGTAAGTTCATGAAATTATTTCCTACACTATCCTTGATAGATTAATTCAATAACACACCATTTAAAATCACAGAGAATCAAAACACACTAAGTATAAACAAAGGGTGATACTTTAAAGGGAAAAAGGATCATGTTAATGACACAGTTGACTCTTGACTTAGGCCAAAGAATATAAACACTGCCAACTTCACAACCATTGTCACACATATGGAGAAGTTGTCTCCATTTTTAATATTAAATACATTCAGGACATAATATAAACTGTGCTTTTCTACTTTATGTTCCAACCTACTATGGAAATCCCCACACTGCACTGAAATACCTAAAAAGGAAGAAATCTCCTGCCACAAATAAAATTTCAAAGACAGTCACAGAGGCATTTGTCAAACAGAGGAAGGCAAGTATTCACATATCACACCTTAAAGCTAACCCTTAACACAGGTTCAAAACAACACATAACACAGGAAAAAAAGCACGTACCTTCTGCATCTGTTGGTCTGATTTGGCCATCTCTGCAAAGTAATCATCTGGCCTTCTAGTAGGAATTTGCAGCTTACACAACTTAGGTAGGGCTTCCAGGACCGCTGCCTGAGCCTGCCGGTAACTGGGGAGACAGCACAGCACCAGCTCTGTCACTGGCTGCCGGGCATCTCACAGTGCTGACAGAAACTCTGCTCACACAAGTAAGCTGATACTGAGACCTAACTAGCATTGATCTAGAATTATATCAATATGCTGTGCTCTAAAGCATTCAGCACTACTAAAAGCAATTTAGGTACCAGTACAATATTAATGCCTCCATCTTGCATGCATACAATTATCTAGTTTTCAGTTACAGTTTTATATGTTGGATTATAAAATGCAAGGTAAAATAAGAGAACTGTAATGATACCAAAACAAATCCACAAAGAAAAAAATCCATATCCTGTGTTAAAGCTAGAGTTCAGCCATCAAGGAACTTTTTAAACAAGCTTTTCAGCAAAGGATGGAAGTCTGCTGCAAGGAGGGAAATTATTTCTAGTCACAAGACAAGTTAAATAAACTAGCATTAATTTCTAGTTATTCTGGAAAACGTTCAGGGCCATCAAATGTAATATACGTGGCTCAAGAGTGACCTGGCACTGGTGACAGCCAGCATGGCCGTTTGCAGCACACCTGTGAAACATGGCTCCAGGCACGCAGCAGTACGCCAAGACCCTGCATGAAATCTCCTTTTTTGAGACTTACAAGCTCATCTCTCTCTGGAAATCATTCTCAGGATCAACAGCATCTTTGTTTTCAGCACTCTGTGAGATGGGATCCACGACCTGGCCCAGAGTCACATCCAACCTTTCCACCCAATCCAGCTGCTGCCTGAATTCGGACAGGCACTGCCTCAGGCCGCCCTGGGAAGGAAGCACAGCTCCGCACACCACCGCACAGAACCGCCTGGCCCGGCTGGGTGTCCGGCTCTGCCCACGGGCTGCTCCTCCAAGGTCGTTGGGCGACACCCCGAGTCACCCCGGCAGCGCAGGAGCCCCATCCCCCCTCCCCACTCCCGACCCCCGCGGGGGCTCCTCTGCCCCGCACCGGGCGCTGGGGGGGGGGGTCCCGCCCCGCTCACCGCGTCGTTCCGTGGCTTCGGCCGCTCCTCCAGCACCACGTTGAGCCCCGGCTGAAGCTCGCCCCTCGAGAAGGCCGCTTGGAGCTGCGGGGAGCGCACGGTGAGGCCGCACGGTGAGGCCGCACGGTGAGGCCGCACGGTGAGGCCGCACGGTGAGGCCGCACGGTGAGGCCGCACGGTGAGGCCGCACGGTGAGGCCGCGCCGGAGCCCCGGGGTGGCACTACCCCGCGGCTGCTGCCGCGGGAGACCTCACCGCCGGGCCCGCACCCCGGCCCCGCCACCGCAGCCACGGGCTCACCTCCGAGTCTGAGAGGGAGGAATCCTCCGAGCCGGAGTCTGAGTCGGAGAAGGAGCCGCGCCGCGCCATGCTGCTGCCGCCACCGCCGCTTCCGGCCGCCCGTGCGCGCCGCCGCTGCTTCCGGGGGTGTGAGGGCCGCGGTTGCCACGGCGACCACGGCGGCAGCATGGCGACGGTGGCGGTGCAGCCCGTGGCCGTCTTCGGCTGCCGGCCGCGGGTCGCCGGCGGCGTCTGCTTTGTGGAGGACCAGGTCGTGCTGCACGCCGCGGGGGCGGGCTGCCTCCGGCTGCACCTCGAGCAGAAATGGCACAAGTTCATCCCAGGTGGCCGCGGCCCCGACCCCGCGCCCGGCCCCGGCCCCCGCCCGCCCTGACCCCTCTCCCCCCCCTTCCCCTCCGCAGGCACGGAGAAGAGCCGGGGCGTGCAGGCGCTGGCCGTCAGCCCCGACCGGCGGTACCTGGCCGTCTCGGAGACAGTAGCGGAGCAGCCAGTCCTGACGGTCTGCGAGCTGTCGGCGGGGTCGGCGCGGCGGCGGAGGACGCTGGCCGCCGCCAGGCTGCCGGCGCGGGAGGCGGTGTCCCTGGCCTTCTCCCCCGACTGCCGCTACCTGGCGGCCGCCGCGGCCCCCCCCGAGGGGCACCTCACCTTCTGGCTGTGGGAGAAGCAGCGGCTGATGGCGGCTGTCCGCATCGAGGCCCCGGGCTGCGGCGTTTGCCAGGTAACGGCCGCCGCCCTCACGGGCTTCGGGCCCGCGCCGGGCCCGTCCGGCACCCCCCGGCCTCGCCGGGGTACAAGGGTGCACACGCCGGCCTCCAGAACGGAGCTGGGCCTGCGCCTCTGCGGCTTATTTTTAACGGTTTTGATTCACGGTTGACTGGCTCTCAGGGAGCCTATTGCACTCCTTCAGGGAGGTGGATAAAAGGACCAAACTTCAGTTCAACCAGCACTGGGTACCAGGTAGAGCCTAAGTTCAGTCTGCAGGCTGTGTGCCCAGCACGCTTTCCCGTGGCCACATGGCTTCTATCCAGGGCAAGAGAGGGAAGAGGCGGCTCCCCAGTGTAGATTTTATATAGTCTGTGCAGCCTTTCCTGGCATGTGCTGTTGGCCTTCCTCAGCAATAGGACACTGGGCTTAATAAATTTTTGCTTTGACCCATAATGGACACGTCCGCATCTCTTGTATCACATTAAATCCTCTTCTATCACATGAGATCTATGGTATGGGGCCAGTACCACTTGCCAGTGAGTGTGCAATGTGTTCCCTGCAGAAACACTCATATATATTGGCTGTGCTCGGTACATGTAACATGCATCTCAGAAGCTCCTGGCATGCTCATGTGGTTTTTCCTTCCTGCAGTCTGTACTATGTGCAGATCGGAGGAGTAGCCCAGGAAGAGTGGCTGGGAGCCCCTGGTTATTTCTTAGTCTCTTCAATATTCCTATACGTTTCTGTGAACCTTCTTCCCTTGTTTGTTTTCCTCTATTTGGTAATTGAAAGTCTTCAAAACAGGTATAATACTTGCTTGTTTATGAACATAGTTGTATAAAATAATTTTTTTGTTCCATAGGTGAGCTTTAGTCCTCAAGACAACACACAGGTTTGTATCACTGGAAATGGCTTTTTTAAACTTTTTAAGTACAGTGAAGGAACTTTGAAGCAGATGAATTTACAAAAGGGAGAGCCACAAAACTACTTGTGCCATGCCTGGTTGTCTAAGGAGGAAGTTATATGTGGCACTGACACAGGCAAGCTTATCTTGTTTGAAACTGGAAAACTGCACTGGGAGACAAGTGTAGACTACAAAAAACCACCCAGGGAACTAGAAGATGTAACAACAAATGAATATGAGAGGTAAATCTTTTAAATACTATTGCTAATAGTTTCATGTTTGTGTATGCAGATTAGTTGCAGACCATTCACTTATTTCCTTCTTGGCCAGTTTACAAATGGGTTATAATATTTTGATTGCTGCTGATAAGAATTTTTTGTTTTGTCCTTCTTTATTAATTTCCTGCTTGTAGTTCTGATGTCTTTTGTGGACTGGCCTCTGAAGATAATTGTTCACAACAGGATTCATTGCCTCAAATATCTGCAGTTGCAGCTTATTCCAAAGGCTTTGCGTGCTCATGTAGCCCAGGAGTTGTCCTTCTGTTTGAGAAGACCAAGGAAAAGGAAGTCTACAAGGAGAGTCAAGAAATCTGGGTGGGAAGAAAAAAGCTTTTCCAAGCAATTATGCAGCAGAGGGCTGTTTAGAAGGGTGGGAGTGCTTCTGATTCAGCTATTATTAATAATTTTTAGCACATCTCTAAATTACATTGTAAGCATTAGCTAGTTCCTGGTGATGTCGAAAGGGAGGGAGTTGTCAGAGGTCACACTTAAAGTCAGTGGCAGATGTCCTTTTGCAAGGTAGATCTTCATGCTCACACATGTAAAATGTACTTTGAGGCTGCTAAACTCCAGGAAACCTTTAAGAAACTTCACGGAGACTTTTGGAGCTAAGAAGTAGTCTATGTCAGTTTTGAAGAACTAGGCTGCTAGTTTTTTTCCAAGGCAAAGTTTTTCTCCCCTCAGCTATTATAGCTGTCATGGGACTTGTGCACTCTTGCTCTTAAGTAATCTAGTAAGATTTCTAACTTCTATAGCGAGCTGTATGCATTGGCTTACTGCAATCTCTGGATAAGAACATTTAACTCTGATGAGTGGGTCACACCTTCATACTCTGGGCCTAAAAGGTCAGATCTGCCCTCTGCATGAGACCCTGTAATAAGACCGTTACCAACCTGAGTGATACACTGTAAAGAACTGTTATTCTGAGATCACAGTTTTCAGGCAGTTTTCATTCAGACACTTGCTAGGTTTTTTTCTCAATGTTTTCTGCTGAAAAATGTTTTCATTTATGTTTAATGCAGTACTTAAGATTACTACTGAAATGTCCTCTGATGCTTTCTTCAGCTGTAATGCTATAGATACTGTTAGGTTATCTTATGTACTATTAAATATCCAAGTTGTCGTACTGATATTATGAATATGCTTATTAGAGTAGCATTACAGCAAAAGTTTGTGTGTGTGTACACGCCTACTACTAATACATGGAGACTTGGAATATCCCATGGGTTTCATTTCTTGTGCAGCTTCCTCAGGACCTGTTCAGCAGTGAGCCAAAAAAGTCAGGCAGACAGGACATTATATGTATATGCTTCAGTCCCTCTGAGGAAATGATGGTCGTTAACACAAATAAAAGTCAGCTTTACATGTTTACTATGCTCTCCACTGATCTTATGAAGGTGAGTAAACTTATCACATTCCACAGACAACATGTCCAGTAAGGGGTGTATTGTTATGGCACAGGCTATTCAGTGTCACTTTCAATGATTCATTCTCACAAATCTATGAAATAGCATCTGATATGAAATGCTCTGCATGCTTCTGAGAGCTGTATTTCAGTAGCCCCTTGTTCAAACATCCCTCTATATGAATACCTGATGTTATGCAGCAGAATGATAGAGGACACTGTTAAGACTGTTTAAGGGTGTGTGTCACTGTTGAACTACTTAAGTAAGGCTTTAACAGAGAGATTTTTGCTGTAACTAGTCGTTATGCCCCAATGTAATAGCAGAAACTTTAATGCAACAATAAAGCTGAAACAGCCATGGGAACTCATGTTACTCATGTTACTCTAGAATAATAGTTGTTGAAGTCCAAGTTAGAAGTGAAACCTCCTTGTGAAGGACAAACATAATGAAAAACATTCCCTACTCTAAAGGAATTAAATAGTACAAAGACAAATGTATTATCATTAAATAGATTTGTATGGAGTTACATAGCCTGTGTACAAGCGTAAGGAAAGATCTTTACAGGAAGGGGTTTTGTAATTAAGGGTCCTTTTTCTGCATGCAGCCTAAAATTTTATTGGTGCTTCATTTCCAGCATGTACTAACTAAACATCCTGGTTAAGTTACTTATCACTCAGCACTTGATTATTTTTCAATATCTGCCTGACCAGATGGTTTTAACTGAATTCTCGCAGGTCCAGTTTTAATTATTTACTTAACTTGCATTTCTTTGGTCACTTGTAATTATGTTCTGCTCTCACTAGTGTATGAGAACTATGGAGCATGAATCTTCCCTGCATCACTTTTCTTGATTATTAATTATAAAGTTAAAACTGATTCTAACATTGTTATATTCATACTGGTGCAGTGAGAGGATTAAGTGGTTTCCTCAAATCTATTTAGTTACTGTATGCAAAGAGCTATGATAGATTTCTTACCTGACTTACTGCCTGCAGTGAAATATCTGATTTTTTTTACATTCTCATTGCTTCTCAGAAGAAGACAGCTTATTTTGCATATCTGAATTTCCCATTGCATTCTGCTTCAATCACTGGTCTGGACATCTGTATTTGGAAACCCATTCTTGCGACTTGTTCCCTGGATAGATCTGTCCGCATCTGGAATTACAAGACAAAGTAAAGAGCTGTTTGTGTTTGTTATTACCTCTTGCTTTTTTGTATATTGTATTTAGCAGGCAACAGCAGCAATCTTGTATGAATGAGAGTGTTGTTCTGGTAAAATTCTTGTGTGGTGTGGGATGTAAATGGTCTTACTGACATGATTTGGGGAGTGTAAATATGCAGTGCTTTAAAACCCATGCCAAAAGAATCCAGAGCCTTCTCTATTAACCCATATTTGCATCAGACTTCTCATGTGTGTCAGAAAAAAAAATCTTCAGGAATGTTTCATTCAGCTTTGTCTTAAGATACTGTTGTCCCATCTCCTGCTTCATAACTACAGTCCCTAAGCAAAATGACTCCAGCTTTTAAGGTTCTATGGAGGGGAGAGGTGGAGAAAAACAACTCTCAGAAGAGAAGTTTGTGTAGGTTTGCAATCAGCAGTTCATTTAGCTTCTTCATTATATTACAGCAAACAAGTATGCACCCTTGCACCTTCCACAACTCCTCTGTGAAGCAGAAAGTTCAGATTTGCCTTTGTTTCCTGTAACATCTGTGTGATCATTACTTAACTGAATGACAACACATTTCCTCAAGGACAAGGCAGAGTCAGACTGTAGCTGCAAGTGTCCTTGCCGAGCCAGATAATGTCCAGTCAGGCATGCATAGGGAGTTTGTACTATTCCATACTGCTCAATGGTTTTCTCTTTCAGCACTTTGGAGCTGTGTAAGGAATATCGGGAGGAGGCATACGCAGTATCACTTCATCCCACTGGCCTTTTCTGTTTGGTTGGGTTTTCTGATAAACTGCGATTTATAAGTCTACTGTATGAGGACATGCATGTTTTCAAGGAGTTTTCTGTGAGAAAGTGTAGAGAGGTAAGAAGTGATGTAAAACTGAAATTGGGGAGTTGCAGGGAGCAGAGTGGTGAAGAACATGAAGGAAGATAGAAATCTCTCCAATAGATTCTAGTAGGATTTAGGTTATCAAAGCATAGAGAAAAGGATTCCGACTATCAGAAAATAAGCCTTGAGACTGATGCATAACTGTGGACCTGGGAAGCAGCAGAAGGGGTAGTTCGCTCAGAAATACTGAAGGACTGAATTTTACAGGGGAAACCACCAGTTAAGAAAGGAGTAAGAGGCTAATTATGTTATGGAGTTTTCTTTTTGTGTAACATTCTGATATCAGATGATGTCATTGGAATTCAATGCATGAATGTTCTTACCTACTGCATCTACAGTAAAGGGTTGTTATGTTCTTTTTGCAGTGCTCATTCAGTAATGGTGGCCATCTTTTTGCTGCAGTTAATGGAAATGTGATTCAAATTTATTCCAGCATCACCTTGGAGAAAATTAATAATCTGAAAGGGCATAGTGGGAAGGTTAGTAAACAAATCCTATACTGTACAACTCATTAAAGTATGAACTAGTTGGTAAGATGCATTTTGAAAAGGTAAAGTGTGATTTTGGATTAGAAATGGGCCCAAAAATTTAAAATAGAAATACAGAAGCCAATGTATGTATGCACTAGATACATCTAAAGAGTCTGTCCTTAAATTGAAGGTGAATGATTGCAGGCAGCTGAACCAGGAAAAATATCTCAGTAATAAATTATAAAAATAAAACGTGCTACACACTATTGAAATTAACTTTTTCTTGACAACATGTTCATAAAGTAGTTCTTACTGATTTTTTTTATTTTTTTTTTTTAAATGCTGAAGTGGAATTAGTTGAGAAACATCTAGGGTTTTTCAAGCAAGACTTAGAAGTATGATTCCAAAGTTGACATGGACTTACCAGTAAAATGACTCCATGCTGTATGTCTGTAACCTACACATCGGGCTCGTTGGTATGTTTTGCTTTTGCCAGATACATGCAGTTAAATGGAGTGCAGATGATACTAAATTTGTTTCCTGTGACACACATGGTGCTGTGTATGAGTGGAACTTGTTGACAGGCAAAAGGGAGTCAGAGTGTGTGCTCAAGTCCTGCATCTACAGCAGCATTGCCCTGTCTTCTGATGCCAAAATCATCTTTGCTGTTGGATCTGACCAAACTCTCAAAGAAATTTCAGAGTCTTCGGTGAGCTAACAAGCACTCAGGGATTTTGCTAAATTCTCTGGGTCAGGTACTATACTAGCGCTTCGGTTTCTTTATCATTCATTTGGTAAGTAGGAATCAGTCTGGTTTAGATAGCTGAGCTATTTACTGACACTTTTCTTATGTTTTTATGTCCTTCACTGTGAAACCTGGAATTTTGTTGTAGTTTTGTATTTTTATAACTTTACTTGGATTTACCTAGAAATCTTCTAATCCAGCTAACAAACTAACTTGGAAATAATGTATCAGCTGTTTTGCTGAAATAAAAGCATATTGAATCTACCACTGTAAGCTGCAAGCATTTTTTTTTTTGTCCAGAAAAGTAGTAAATTGTATGTGATAACCATTACATCTTTCAGAAGTGCTCAATGTGTGGAACTTGGCTTGAAATTTGAAGAGTGCGTATCTCTAAAGCTTAATACTAATTAATGTTCATGGCTTTATTCCTATAGGCATGTAGATTCTTTTAACTGCATTCTTTGCTGCAGGCAGAGGCATGACAATTGCTCATGCAATAAGTAATTAAATAGTATTGGGGAACTTAATGTAATGGAGTGGAGGGTTTTGTGGGGGATTTTTTTTCTGTTTTGTTTTGGTTTTTTCTTTAGATCCAGCTGGAAGTGCCTGCTTTTGGTGTTGTTTATACTGCAGTGGCTGTTTCTCATTCTGGGCACATAGTATTTGTTGGTACATCTCTGGGGACAATCCGAGCTATGAAGTACCCGTTACCTTTGACGAGGGATTTCAGCGAGTATCAGGCCCATGCAGGTGCTGTTACAAAGGTAACGTACTTTCTTTTCCCTGTGATACCAGCTGCACATGTTTCCTATAGCACCGATTCTCCTTCCCATTTCATAGCATATGTTAACGTAAGGTTGAGCCTGCATGTGGAGGATGAATGTTACAGCATTCATAGAAGTCCTGTCTCTAGAAATAGTTGTTACTGGATAAGCTGTTGGTGGCTAAAAAGTGACTTGCACCAGGATATGTAACATGGCATATCCCTGATGGAGAACTTTGATATAGCTCTTTCTGGAAAGAGGAAGATAAAGTTATGCAGGCTTGAAAAATCTCTTGTAAGAGTGGAAGGAGGAATGAGATAAAAGTATTCAGCAACTTGCTGCCAGGGTAGAGAGCAGAAGAGATCGCAGTGCTGGTCTGCTAACCAGAGTGTCTTTCTAAAAAGCTAATGAACAGCATCAGAAAGGTGGGGATATGGTGAGTAGAGCCTGCAACCATGGAACTTTTCAGTGCACTTTCTCCAGGAAGCCACATGTTCCGTCTTGTTAAAACTGCTTGTAATTTTGGCATTTTAAGTATCACTGTCAAATACAGCACCTTGACTCAAAGCTGCCCAGTCCAGAATTAGTCTATGAATTTCAGTTACTGGAACTCTATTTTCACCTCGCTCATAAGCTGTGTCAATTCCCAGGTACTCTATGCCAGGCCATGCCCAGTCACAGGGGAGGTGACAGCAGTTATTGCTAGATAGTTCTTGGTGAGCTTATTTGCAGATTCAAAAGAAGATGTTTAGCCATCTGTTGTTCAAACAACTTCTCAACTAAAAAAGTTAGAGACTTTGTAATTGTCATATAAATTGCCTGTCTGTGCTACAACAGTCTAGAAGGTCTTTTCTGTTCTAGGTTTTTAAAAATCTTCCTACAGCTTTGAGAGCAGAAGTGGATCCAGTGTCTTCTTTACATGTTCTTCTTTACTTTCCTTTCCCCTGTTGTCTGGACCAGGGTGGAGCAAGAGTAGAGAACATAGTAAAAATGTTGGTAGTGGGGATATATTAATATTTCCACTGACTTTCTGTGGTAGAAATGGCAGGGAGTGTGAGTGGGGAGAAAAATCTGGTACAAAATCAAACTGTGTCTCCATTTTTCCTTGTCTCTACTGTTATTTTGTTGCCTCTTCCTTCGAAGATGTCCATAACAAATGATGACCTATTTCTGCTGACTGCCTCAGAGGACGGCTCTATATTTATCTGGAAAGTGTATGATAAAGGAGGTGGGATACTGAAATGGGAAAAGGAGGTTGAGTATGCTGAGGAAGTGCTGATCACGAGAGCAGATATAGAAGAGAAGGTAGGAGGAGCAACTTGTGAACATTAACTGTAGGATTCCTAGTGTATAGCTTATGTATTACATTTGCGTGATGTTTGTGACTAGCTGTTCCTATATGGCCTTCTGTTTAAGAGGGCTTGCATGGCTTTTGTCATAAAAAGAGGTTACAGCAAGTAGCTGCAGTTGCTTGTTAATATGGAAACTGCATTGTATGAACAGTGGGTGTGGAGAAAAGTTTAGGCTTTTCTCTAGTACTTTCCCCAATCCTTTGAAAACAGTTTTATTGGAGTAGAGAAGTCAGAAGCTGCATTTCTGTAAACCATCTTGTAAGATAACAAAGGAACCTTACTTTTGGAACTGCTTCTTGGTCTGTCTGAAAATCCTCTGCAAAGGCTGTCTTTCATAAATATATGCATGTAAATAAAACATTGTTAACAAGCTGTTGCTAATGGCAAATAATCTCTCTGTTAAAACTATCTTCTCATCCATGTCTTAACAGAATCAGGAAATGTTAGATCTGCAGATTCGTGTGAAAGAGCTACAGACAGAAAATGATTACCAGCTACATCTCAAGGACCTATACTGTAATGAAAAAATAAAGGAATTAGAAGAGAATTTCACTCGGGAAATAAGCTCCCTTAAAACCAAACACCAGGTATGATTCATATTGGAGAACCAAATACCAAGAAATCTTTCACCGAAGAGTTGAATTCAAGTTTGTATTATATATGTATGAATGCCATAAAGCATCTGAAAAATTAAGCATTTCTTTCCAATAAAGATGTTCTTGATACTTGTAAAGCATGAAGCTACCTTTGAGTCAAGTATCTTGTAAATACAAGAGGTTGCAAGAGTTCTCCTAGGTAGCCTGTAAGTATCTTCACATAAAAACAATTACAGCAATAAATGTTGCCCGAGTCCAAGGATCAGTAAGCTGTATCACCCTTCAGTAGAAAGGGGACCATGCCTTAAAAGCTCTATCACATAAGGTTAAGGCGCTGCAGGGTCCAACAATTACTCTTCTAAATGCTGCCTTTTTTATGCCCTGGCCATATAAAATAGAAAGTAAAATATATTTCTGTTCATGTGTTCATTGATTTTTCTGTGGTCATGAAGCAGGACTTCCCTGAAAGGCAAAAGCCACGATAATTCTTCCCAGTGTCTTATTTATCTGTGTGTATTAATTCTATTCTGTCCATCTGTCTGGTGCACACACCAACTGGACGCTTTTTAGAGTTAGAAGGCAAGTGATCCAATAGCAACTTCTCTGGCAGTTAGATGGCTTGAAATGAGAGATTACATATCACATGATTCAATTCTGTCAATGTCATGTTCTTTTCGAGCTTTTGGATGAATATTATCCTGCCCTGGTGATTTGTTACTGCTTATTTTGCTGAGTTGTACATAGTCCTTTCAAGCAGCATCTCAGTTTGATTCCACATAAAGAAGGACTCAAGTATGAAAGCTTGCCAAGTTACTTACGAATTTTATTGTTTTTTGGTCTTGTAATATTCAAGTGCTCCTTTTATACCTTTCTCTCTCTTGGCCCTACAAATGTTCTGGCAGGTTTCTGATTTTGATTTGTTTGAGGAAGTTTAATTATTCATTTTAATGCTTTCTTCCAAGTAGTTCCTCAGGCTTTTTGGCTTTTCTCATTGTGGTTTTTGCATTTGAAGTAACCTGAGCTTTAACCTTTCTGTTCTTCCTCATTTTTGTACAGCTTAACTTTTTACAAGAAAGCCATTTCACTACTTATAGATTCCTCTACCTGTGTTTTATCTGTGCTGGTTTTCTTCTGCAGTTCTTCAGGTCTTTTCATAGGTAGCACTTGACTGTAGAGTTATAATAATCTCAGCTACACTGAAACTTCTTTAGACTTGTTGATTATAGGTTTGCAGGCAAATGCCTTTGAAGGTGAATAAAAGTTTTCTAGGCCGGCAAGTTGTACTTCCTGTCCGAGTGTCAGTACATGTTAAGATTAAACTGAATGACAGATTTGGAGCGGCTTGGGGCTGACCTTTCTAGTTGTTGTGTCCAGCAGGTAAATGGAGTATTTCTGCTTATGCAAAACCCATACAGTTGTTACGAGAATAAAGCGAAAAAATTGTACCTATGGTGCAATTCCCAACTTTTCTGGGAAATTTGTCACTCATTTTCTTGTTTCAGTTCTTTGTGCTTTTTTAGAAGATTAAGTCATTTGTAGTGATAGTCAGACATTCCAAGCAAATGGCATTCAGAACTCAATTTTGCTTAGGTTTATGTCATTCGGTGCAAATGTCAGTGTTTTAGGACCTCAAGGTTCCTTCAAATGAGACAGGAAGCAGTTTTAACTTTAATATCTAGACAACAATTTGTGGAACTGCAAATTCTCCTCAAGCAGGCACACACAAAAAAGTGGACACTTTTGTAGCCTGTATTATATGAACTCCATTTGCTACTTTCCCTTAGCTTTCCATAGTAACTTGTAACAAACTAATCTCTGGGAAAACTTGGCCTGGTGACATGTGACATCTGAATTTTGGTGAGAGACTTTAAACATAGGTTCTGTTGTGTATGCGTTCCCCACCATGAGCAAGAGCATGAACAGTTTGAACACTGCTTTGCCTAGTTTCAAATTAAAATGTATTTTTCTTATTTTTTTTCCCAGATTTTACAGGCAGAGAAAGAAAAACAGGAGCTACAACACCAGTTTCAACTGTCTGAGCTGATGAATAAACAGGCCAGGGAGGTGCAACAGCTAGGTTAGACTATAAGAAGTGTTTGTAACTAAAATCTGGAAGAAGTGCATTAGATTCATAGCAAGTAATGTGACAGGGATTGACTACTAGAGTACGAGAAAAAATGCATGTATGTCATATAGGTATTTCAGACCAAACATTTGTCTAAACTGCACCACACACATGACCATGATGAGAATTTGCACATGGGCACTGTATCTTAGATGTTTGGGTTTCAAAATTAGTAATTTCTTCATTTATTTATAGCTCACTGTGCAAGAATAGTGAGGTCATACTGTTCAGCAAGGAGGCTGATGTACAACATTGGAAATACCTGGACCCCAGATTTGTAATCAAGATAAAACAGAAATACTGCAGATTAGTACCAAAAAGCAGGTCCACCCATAAATGAGTCCACTGCTTACTCATACTCTGTAACAGTTGTGCTTATACACCTCTGTCATGGTTGTCATCTCAAGGAAATGCCTAATTTAGCTGTTGTTCATTTGTTGTAATGGCAGAGTAGGAGATTTTGGTGTAGGTTTTAGACTTGTTCAAGCTGGAACAGAACAACATTCTGTCCTGATGCAGCAATCAAGGATATAGCAGAATTTTCAGAGACACAACAGAGAAAGGTGAATAACAGATTTGGAACAGGCATTATTAGTGAAGTGGGAAGTAAAAGGAAGAGCAGGAAACTCAAGAGATAGTTTTCTGATGTGAAATTTTGTATGGCCACTGAGTCTAAAACCCCTGTATATCTGATGAAGAAAGTGATGAAGTGCTTCTAGCGTAACTTAATTGCAACCAGCTGCCAAAAAGGCAATAGAGAATAAGACATTGATGACTGTAGAAGGGTAGAATACACCTCTCTTTTCTATTAGTTTTATCCGTTCCATATGTTTCCTGTTACCAGAATCTGACAGTAATCAGAAACTCTTAATGGAAAATGAGAAATACCAGGAGCTGCAAGTGAAATCCCAGAGGATGCAGGAGGAATATGAGAAACATTTGCACAGTTTGGAGGAAAGCAAAAGCAAGACTGTGAAGGAGCTAACAGAATATTATGAGGAAAAACTTAATGAGAAATCTGTTCTGCTGGAAGAGGTAGGAAACTTGATTTGCAGTTTGAATTATTGACTAAGTTTTTCTCCAACTGTGATAAAATGTTCCCTAGGACAGGAGAGGCTGGCTCCCTCCATGCAAATCCTAATCTGCCTGTGAACTTGGGGAAATATATTAACAGGTTGAATAGTAATGAGGAAACCCTAGCTGAGTTACCAACTTTTCTGGGCTTCATACCTTGAGTAAGTAACCTGCTAGGATAAATATCCTTGGGCATTCTCGGCTTCACCTCTCTTTCTCCTAGATCCAATAATTTCTGTTTATTAATGTGGGTTAGATGATACATTTACTATAATTGAAGAAAGAAAGATTCAATCACTTCGTTCCAGTGAAGAGATAACATTTCTAAAATGGTGATTTCCATTCCTGAGTCCCTGACGTTCCCACCTGCATAATTTGGGGAACAAAGAGAAATACCCTGTCTACTTCAAAAACTCCTGCACATTGAGGTCAAAGACTTGGCTTGAGAAAGGGCAGCCAGATACCTGATACTGATACTCATATATCTAAAGTCAATAAAATAAAGAATGTGAGGAATGAATGTGAGAAGAGAGGTGTATAGAGACTAATGCAAACCTGAGCAATTATTGGTCCTAATGCATCAGAAGCAGCAATTTTAAAATATCTCAGGTGTTACTCATGTTTGCATTTTCTGCAGCCAGAACAAGTTTGCTGATGTTAGTATTTGGTCCAGGTTCCTAACTTGAAGCATCCAAGACTTAAGAATAATTTTTTTCAAGAAAATTTTTTTTGTTTGTCTTAACAGTTTTTAAAGTTACTTTAACCCCCTAAGAAGTTAAGTTACCTTAAATGATATTGCTGCAATTGAAGAGTCCACTAAATATAGATCTTTCCAAGAGAAACACAGTTACAAATAAAGAATTATCTTCTTTATTGGTCTCTTACTGTTGTCTTCTCTGATGTTTGCTTTCCTTAACTGCAGGCAGAGGAGGATATGAAGCGGCAGCTTCAAGCCCATGAAGAAATTCAGAAACAAACTGAAGAAGACGAAGACCGAGAAATCCTGGAAATCAAAATCAAGTACGAGAGACGGCTCTTGGAAGAAAAGGAATCAAACCTGCAACTGAAAGGAGAAATAGGAGTCATGAATAAAAGGGTATCTCTTATTCTGTGATAGGACCAAACCTGCATGTGGAGACCTATAGCTGAGGATTGAATGTGATTACTGGCATGTCAGTTTAGTCTTAATTTAGTCTGTAAATATGTGGTATTTCATATGAGAATAATAGCCCCTTCTTACATCAGTTTGATTGTTTTAGAATATGTGGGCAAAAGAAGCAACTGTGTGCTGATTGTATTGCTGATATGATTAGAGATAGATGATAGAGGAGGTGTGTTTTTATTAGGACACTTTCTTTTATCTTACATAGTTTTAAATTATAAATAATAATACTGTTCATTCTGTGATGGGAAAGAAATGAACCTTTTCATTTTTGCAAGACCTAGTGTGTTTGCTAGAAAAATACTGCTACTTCATTTGATGCAATAAACACTATGTGTTTTGTGTGCATCATCATTTTTTATTGGTTTTACTAGGATTTTTAAGGAGACATAAAACCTTTCAGCTCTTTTATTGACTGGGTATGACATTTGCCTCGGGATATTAGAGAGACATTTTTTCTTTTCAGTCCCTTCAATATCTATCTGGAGACAGAGAGGTTCTCTTCCTTCATAGCCTCTATTATTATGGTACTGTCTTCAGTTTCATTGTCTTTTAGACACCAGGAATTTTTTCATGGGTCCTCACAGTTTGACCAGCACCATTCCTTGGTTCTGACTTTCTTGGCTTCACAGATCTTAGTATTGAGGCAGTGATTTTGAGGGTACCCAAGAGCTATGAACTAGGCACCCTTCGAGTCTACTTTTGATATCTTTAGAGATGTATGACAAATGATAACCTTAAAAAATTTCCCTGGCTTGAGTGTTATTTGAAGCTGATGTTTGGGTATAATATCCATACTCTTCTTGCTTCTGGATGCAAATTCCTTGATTCCTTGTAGTGCAGTGAGTATTCTGTCAGAGTATACAGAAAATGTAAAAATGGATATTCAACCCCTTTTTGTGTTACAGGTATTTAAGTGATGTGATGCTCCTTCATCATACCTCAGTTTGATATCCTTTTTCCCACACTGTCTACAAGGTATTTTGCAGAGTAGGATGGATAAGTAATGCACAGCTTTTGGAGACTATTCTTACTTGTTTGCCTCTCTAGCTGAACAGCTTGCAGAAAGAGCTCAAGGAGCGAAACGGGGACATTGAGGAAATGAGATTGGAACAGCAGAAGCTGCAAGGCATCATTAAGTCACTGGAGAATGACATCTTGGCACTGAAGACAGAAATTCAAGAGAGAGCTGACACTATCCAAGACAAGGTGAGAAACTGGACAATTGGCTGAAATCAAAGTCACCCTCCCTTAATTTAATACAGATATTTATTTTAATGATAGCATGTTGTGATAGTATCACATGACTGGAAACTCAGTTTTAACTTAAAGAATTTGCGATCTTTAGTTTGGGATTTTATTTTTTTGTTTACATTCTAAGCTTTTATTGGGGAGCTCAAGCTCAGGATGTTGAGTTTCTTGTCCCCTGTTCTGGGATCTGTAGATGGCTCTCTGCATTATTTGCCCTGTTCCTTCCCATTCAGTCTGTGTAGTTGTGCAATTGAAGTTCAGTCTTCCACTAGATCTGTGACTACTGTTTCTGCCTCTACCATATTTGTGCCTTGTCCCAGGGATCTGTTTGAGAGTCCTGTGTCTGATTCAGATCTCTGTACCTATTTGTCCCAGGAGAAGAATATATATGACCTAAAAAAGAAAAATCAGGAACTGGAAAAGTTCAAATTTGTACTGGATTACAGAATAGAGGAGTTTAAGAAGCAAATAGAGTCACGTGAAAATGATATTAAAACAATGAAGGAGCAGATCTGTGAGGTGAGTTAAACTCTCATTTGGCCTCTGCTACTAAGCCCTTTGTTTGAATACAAAGATGACTTGGCAAGTTCCATGGAAGACTCCACCCTGTTTGTTCCTTGACTTCTTTCAAGGATACATAGCACTGATTCAATATATTTACAGCTAATAAAAATATTTGCACACAGCAGCAGCCATTTAAGTTTCTATCACTTGCTACCAGTGATCAACACAGTTATTTAAGTTCCTGCTTCAGTATTTAATTCTAGACTCAGTGTAATACCAGGTTTGCTTAAAAACAGATCTTGTCCTTATGTGGTTGCCCTCCCCATACCCTGCAGAGTTTGCAAGACACTGCCTTTACTGATCTGGAGGAAGAGGGAGTGAACTTCTCTCAGAAAGCTGCAAATGTATACACACATAACTCTGTTTCAGGGTTAGTATGTAGACAAAATACTGTTCATCAGCTGATCCGTGGAAAATTTCCATGTAATCATACTTAGCTTGCAGCAAATTAATTGAGGCAACTTACTTATGATAGAAACTTACTATTATCTCTCCATAGATGTACCTTTAACTCAACCAAATTAGGACTATAGTGACATAGCTAATCAGTGACCTAATAGTTTTCATAAGTCTGTTTATTCAGAACAAAAGCCTTTTAAATAAAATGCAAACTAATGAACTATTTGTATGTACGTCAGACTAGCATGATGAAAGACCTGTTCTCTCTTCTGGTCACCATCTTATGCCAGTAAATGCTGTAGTATCCTTACTGCTTTTTCCCTGTGTCCTACATATGTAACCACAGCTTTTCGATGTATTTGTTTCTTTTCAGTATGAGGTTGCTCTTATCACACTTATTCTTTCCAGTATTGACTGTTAATTTCCATCTCACCCATTTTTATTCAGATGAAACAGTAAAGCTCCAGTTTAGCTCAAGGAAATTAAGGGGCATCATGTCACTTAAATGCCTGTAACTCAAAACGGAGTATCCATTTTTGTGTTTTCTGTATGTTGTGACAGAGGGCAGTATTGTTCCAAAATTGACATTTTTCGTGTTGTAATTCAACCTGAAGGGGGATCTACTCCAAGTCTGTATTTCCAGTCTGGTTTTCCTGTTACGTGTTGTTTTTTCATGTGTCCTTTTAGTCCTGATTTCCTCCTCCTGCTTCCTTTCAGATGGAAGGAGAGCTGGAACGATTCCACAAGGAGAGCACACAGTTGAAGCTGAACATCACACAACTGCAACAAAGACTAAAGGCAACTGATAGTGAGATGCACAGAGAGAGGCAGAAGGTATGGGGTACAACCGCTGTGCAGGTCCTACATATCAAAGTTTGTGGGGACAGGACACTGCAGAAGCATTAATCTGAGCAAACAGGTACTTCAGGGATACTGTGTCCAAGGGCCAGGAGTCTTTGAACAGTGGGGACAAAGACAGAAAGCTTCCAAGCCTGCAACCAGGTTAGAGAGTTGATATTTAAAAAAAAAATCCAGTTATTTATGTGTCAGTTTGTTCAATCAGTACATATTCTCCTGGGTTTAACAGAGCAGTGAGGCAAATGTTTAACTGACTACCCTTTCCTGCCCAAGCTTGAGATGTGGGGACACTTGGCCTAAACAGGAGCAGCATGTAGGCTACCACCTACAATGATATGTAGGCATTAGTCGTATGAAATGAAAGGTGGTCTTACCAACAGAGGAGACAAGGACCCCTTGTTTCACAACAAGCATGTCAGTCATGAGGGAGGAAAAGGGACTGCACGTGAAGGTGAAGGAGCTTAGCAGGCAGTGCAGGACAGATAGCGGAGCCTGGTAGAAACCAAGTGAGAATGAGAAGGCAATCTTGATGTGAAATCATCAAGCTATGCATGTATCTGGTATGTGCTTTGTCCCTTGCATGTTGTTTCTAAATAAGAATGTAGGTTGTTTGGGAAGGGACAGTGGGAGATAGCATTCCTGCTAATGAACAACTGGTTTTCAGACGAGATCTCTGGATGCTGGCACTTGCATTATCTAGTGCAAGTATTTTGGATTATTACTGCTAAAACTTATCACTGCTCTTCAACACGTAGTGCTTATATCCCCAGTGGAATTTTATTTTTTTAATTAAGGGAAGTAAAGTATATGAGAGCTTTCACCAGTTCTACTAGTCTTTCTAGGAAATTGCACATGATAAGAGTGCTCTGTTTAGCCAGTTAAGAATGTACCTACATCATTTTTGCAGAAACAAAATATGGAAACTCTCATCAAACGATTTAAAACAGATCTTCATAATTGCGTGGGCTTCATTCAGGATTCAAAAAAAATGAAGGATGGGATCCGTGAGCTCTACAGCAAGTACGTGCAACAATCAGACTTGGTGAGTCAGGGCCTTTGCCTTCTTCTTGCAGGTTAACTTCTCTGGTAGTGTAATTACTGAGGCAACATGCTGTGCCCCCTCAGGTGGAGACTGAAGCAGCAGACACAGATTTGCAGCAGGAGTACATGAGACAGCGAGAGTATCTTGAGAGGAATTTGGCAGCTTTAAAAAAGAAGGTGGTGAAGGATCAGGAAATCCACCAAGCTGCTTACATGCGCATCGTGCAGGTAATAAGCCTTTTTCCTTGTGGTATGGAGAGGGGGAAAAGGAAGCAGCTGCACAAAAAAGACTTTATTAGCCTTATCACTATGGTTTCTTAGGACTTTGAAACAGTTTTGGTTTGCTTCCTTGCCAGAAATTTCTAAGTGTTTCAGGTGCTTCCATTCAAGGTAATATTAATTGAGCTACTAAAGTTCTATAATTTTCTGTACAGAAAGAGCAAGATATCTGAAGTCAGAAATTGCTGCTGTTTTGTGGATACGTTTGTTTATCTCCCACTCTAATGTAAAAGGAAATAGGGGACCTTTGCTGTCTGGATATTTTTTAAGCAATTAGTGTACTTATTTTTTATTTCAAACTGTTTATAATTGCCATCATAGTCAATTTGCTCCTGTCTGAGTGACAAGCTGTACTTGCTGTGTGGTAGTGTTTAGGAAGTAAGTTTGGAGGAAGAAAAAAAAAAACTAAAACCTTTCTTTAGTTTCTTTAGCCACATAGTCCCACACTTACTGGTCTGAATTCAGAACTTTCTGCTTTTCACATCCAGGTTTTTCAAGGAAGTTCAAAAACGCATGACGAATGTGCCTATTTGTACCAAGATCTCTTGCTCAGAATCTTTGTTTCTTACAAGGCAAGGCAAACTTGTGACTGTGGGGGCCAAAGGTACAATTCATTTTCATCTAGAGTGAAAAGATCTAAAGCCCCACAGCAAATATCCTAGGAAGACAGCTCTTTTACAGTCTCTTCTTACCATGATCTCCTTCTGCTCAGTCAGCATTTCCTTTTCCCCTCACTAGCCCTTTCTTCATTGTTACTTTATTATGCTTCTTCAGGATCATTAGACTTCAGTCCCCTCCTAAGTCATCTGTTCTTTGCTATTTATTTATAGTCCTTCTTCAGAACTAGGCAGCAATTATCTTCTTCCCTGACCCTTTTTTAATTTTTTGACTCCTTCTGTGAGTTAGAGGTTTCCTTTGGCACAGAAGGAGATGGCTTCAGAAAATAACCTGAAGAATTTCCTTGCCGGAATATAGTGACAGATGGTGCTCATAATGATAATACTTGATGTCTTGGATCAGTAAACCTAACATGAAATGATGATTAAAACCAAATTAATAAAACATCTGGAAGATGAAGATATTAAAGGTTCTAACCAGCCTGGTTTCTTCAAAGAAAAAGCATTTCTCTGAAGTCTGGTAGATTAATGAGACTTTACAGCCAGGAGGAATTATCAAGGTCTTCCAGTTCTTCATAGGGGGATTTTAAGACTAGTTTAGACAAACTCCTGTCAGGACTTGCTTTGAAAAAGTAAATGACATCTTGGAGGCCTTCTAGCTCTGTATTTCTATTATTTCTCAGCTGTGCTTACTTTTTCAGAGCTTTGCATTCCTCTTTGAGTGACTATTCATAGGTACATTACACTAGTGACTGCTGCAACAGATGATTAGAACTGTCAAGATAATTTTAATTATTCTTACTAGTTGGCAAGTTGTGTGTTGTTAGACTCTTAGTTTTCTCTCCAGCCCTCTGTATTTGTAATGGCTTCTCTGGTCACTGATATACATAAGAACAGACACACTGAATAATCTTGAAGTAATGCTGCTTGAACTGAAGCATGTATAGGATGATCTTTTCTATAATATGTCCTACCTGTCTCTGACAGTCATCACTGTAGGGGCTTCCTGGGCTGTAGATTGCATCCAGACATCATATGCAGTTGTACCCGATGGCCTTATCCTCCATGTGTTCGATCAACCCCTTTTCTGAAACAATTGGTACTTTGCCACAACATCCCATGACAATGAGTTTTACTATGAACCTTTATTTTAATCCATTGCAATATCACTGCATAGCAGTGCAAGTGTTTTGTCAGAATGCAAAGATTGAATTAAAGGCTAATCTCTCTGGATAGCATGCCTCTTCAGAAAAATATTATCAGTATCAACCAGCAGCCTCTTAGAACCCAGGAAACCAGACAAGACATTTCTACATAGCCCATTTTGCCTCACACAATATACTATGTATTATACTGTCTAATAGACCAAAAGCAAGATCTTAATTTGATAGCAGCATTCAAGCATTTGGAGTGAATTTACAAAGACATTCGTGACTAAAGTAGTTCATGACTAAAGTGTACACCTAAACAGAAATTTTGTGACCTAACCCTGAAAGCTGGTCAAAAGAAAATTACCTTGACTCATTCTTGGAAGTTATCCTCTTCATGTATTCCTTTCAGGATAAAGCTCTGGGATAAATGCATAGCAGTCAAATTTAATCTGTGTTCAATGACTTGAATTAAGCAAGTCAGAGTCAACAAAATACTGTGGTTTCAAAGCAGGCTGCCTGAGCTCACCAACCTGTGCTGCTTTTAGAGTGCAACACAACCACTGCAAGAACAACAGTTCTTGTCCAACAAGTTCAGACCTTAAGGCATCACACAGTCTTCCTCCAGTCAGTGACTTTCAGCTGAGGGGAAACTAAAGCACAGTTGGTGTACTTGTCTTAGTGTGAAGTATTGAGACTCTTGCCACACACATACACCTTGAGTTATTGCTGCCAACTTGAACTCCTTGAGAACATCTATATACAGATAATTGCTGTAAGCATTGCATTTTGCTCCTGTTTTCTGGTGTGTGGTGCCAATACTTTATAAATATACTGTACAGAACCCAAACGTATGCCTTGCATAAATCTCATGACAATTTAATTATCTCTACCAACCAAAATTACAATTTTTAAAAAAATCAAAATTTGAAGACACCTTTTTCGTAGGAAAACATCATTAACCCTTGTTCTTATTTCCTGTTGTTTTAGTGGGTTCCCTATTGCTTGAGACTGGTATTATGTGAGGTACCCAAAGCATGCCTAAAGGCCATTTGTCTTTTTAAAATATTTCCATTTATGATGAAGTTCCAGGGGTTGGAATGGTGCCATGCTCCAACACTTCTAAAAAAACACCACAGGTAGCTGAAATCATTGCTATTCTTGAGTATAATGGCAGCTGTTTAACATTTGCACTAGCTGTTGATGTGATAAGGTATTTCAGTGTCTTTGTAAGAGGCAAATATACAGTTCCACTTCTCTTGATTTGAGAAAATAAATATTTAGTTAATGGTGCTCCTGTTTCTGAATCATGAGCAACAGTTTCATCACCCTTTATGAGTATTATCCCATACTGGTTTTGCTGAAGTCTTTGAATCAGTCACAACAATGGATAAAGTACATTCACTTGTACTTTCACAACTCCTGCAGCAAGATGCTTTATGGTAGGTTATTACAAAAATTAGAGGATTGAACTTCTATGGGTTGAAAACTGACTAAAAAAATAACAGAAGATGGATACATGGCTAACTTTTCCTCATAACAGCATGTTAGCAGTAGGTATCTCAAATCTCCATATGCTTCATATATTTCTTAATAATTTGAAAGGGGTGTTGGAAAGTGATGTCTGTCAGAACTAATGAAGAAGGCTTTGAAGAACTGCAAGGAGACACAGATAACAAGTGAATAGACACAATATGGCAAATGAAAAGCAAAATAATAAACACTGGAAGGAGAAATTACAATCCTCCATATTAATTCTGAATTAATTAATCCAGGAAAGGACCTGAGCTTCCCTGTGGAATTGGCAAGGAAGATGATACCTTGGGGTGCAGCTGCAGTCAGAAAAGCAAAACAAATATTAGCTTACTGAGCTAACATGGTTTGAATACTGTCATATTTTGTGTCAAATCTACTGTGGCATTAGCTGAAATGTTGTGTATTATACTGATTTCCCTGTATCTTCTGCCTGTGATTCTATGCTGTCCAGTGTCCTTCCCAATGATATGAAGATACATATTGCCAAGCCAGATGGTACCTGTGCTTTTCCTCATAGGGTATATTGTTTTTGCAGGAAAATGTGAGTCTAATTAAGGAAATTAATGACTTGCGGCAAGAACTGAAGGTGGCCCACACCCAGGTACATGACCTTCAGTCAACACTAAGATTAACCAAGAAAAAACAAGCAATTCAAGACACAGGTGAATAGTGCTTCTTGTATGTTTCCCATATTGTCTGTTCTCATTCCAGAAGCCCTTTTTGTCCTTCGTGAACAATTCTATTACTGTCTCCATATCATTCCAGCTTGTCTGCCTGCTGGTACCTGTTATATTTTAATGTTAATTGTAGAAACTGCTAAATATTGCAGAATCTTACTATTTAGCTTTACTCCTTCATCCCTGAAAGATGCCTTTCCTTGATTATGCTAAAGAACTCTGCCAGCTGGACCTTTGTTACTCTGCCCTGTCCTCTCTGATTTTATCTTCTAGCTCCCTCCAGTGAACTGCAGTCCAGCCCAGCTGTGCTAAGGTTGAATGCAGAGAAGGAAAGTGAGAAAATCATAGAAATGCAGCAGCTAGAAATTCAATACCTGCGAGACCAAATCCAGGAGAAGGGGCAAGTCCTTGCAGTTCAGCCTTTCTTAGTTGGAAATCTTCCTAATCTGAACCTGGAAAGAAGCCACAAGACACAGCAACAGTGAGCTGGTTCAAGGATGCCTTACATTATTATATTCTTCTGTCAAGATCAGAAATGCAACAGCATAGATTAGACTTCCATGATCCTATACTCTTCCACTAGAAGCATTTGTGCAACACTCACTGCTCTGAACACAAGGCAGCAACCTTCACTCCCTTCTACTTTCCTGGAATCTGCCCTTTCCATGAGGCCTAGGAGCCAAGAGAAAAAATAATAAATATGTTTTAGTGCAAAACTGATCTTTGTGCCTTCATGCTAGGGCAAGTATGCACCCTTCTCTTGAAAAATAATGTGTCCTAGTTCTGAAGAGCTGGTCAAACTCTGGAAGCCTTTTCTGCTAGAATTATTTGGTATCATTGTGCTGCAAAAATCAACATCAGCCTTTTATTTTCCAGTATTGAATTGCCTGTGTCCATACAAAGGACTGCCTGCACTTAAGACAGATGTCAGTATTATTCCAAGCAGGTATCCAGTCACAAACTAAAAATTACCTTGTGAAAACAACCTTTTACAAGTGGTCAAGCACACCTAAGCTAGAGCCCTTGCTCAAGTCTCTGCCTCCTGTCCAGAGATGTGTTGTCTCATCTGTTACAATCATTTCAGCAGGACAAAAAGGCAGCTCAGATTCAGCCTCTGAAATCTGGAATAAAGTCCAAACCTTATGTCATAACTCTCCTATAACTTCGATAAATTAATCTTTGCTTGTCTTTTTTCCAACATCTGCAATCCCTTTAGTTCAGTTTTTCAGTGAAATTCTCCTAAAAATTCACTCTGCAAAGTACTCATGTGTAGAAAAAGGCAGGGAGTAATTTCTTTAATAATGAGGGGGAAAAAAAGTAAATTTTTCATCCTTTGTTGTCAGTGCATGACACACTGTCTTACTGAGGAATGCTTCACCTATATCAGAAGTTTAAGCTGCTGACTGAGCATGGAACTATATGGTATTATAACAGACAGTACATTACTGTTTCCGTTTCCTATCCTGAATTGTAGAGAAGTGACTACATACTAATAATAATACTATACAGAAGATGGTGGTGCCAAGACTGGATAATGTGTAAGCTATTACTACCATTCGGGGTACCAGATTCATTTGCAGGCTAACACCATGGCAGAGCAGATGGTTCCATGAGCTCCTGTGACCTGGGAGACTTCAGTTGAGTGCTTTGTCCATGAACATGGAATTAAGATTCTTTAGTCCTACTTTTTTCATTTTTCAGCTTTAATGTGTATGAAGCATAGGTTTCACAGGAGCAAAGGAAAGAAGTTACGATGGAATCGGTCTGTCAGTATGATAGCTTAACACCCTTTCTTCATCCTCCCCTCCCCATATAATCATCTTGATACTTCCTGTACAGAAAGAGGATGTAATTAATGTAATTAGCAAATATTTTAGAAACTAGTTCCCTCTTAAATTTTCAGAGCACACCCATTTTAATTTGCTAGACTCTCATGTGGTATAATTTCCCCCTCTCTCTATCAGAATAAACTGAGTTGTAGAAGCCACTGCTTTAATAGCTGTGGTTTAGAGAAATTGAATCAATCTTTCTGAAAAAGAAGAACCTTGTCCTAGTAAGAGGAAGAAGAATATATAGGTGAAGAATTATTTCTATGTCTTGATTAGTAGTGGCTTAAAAGTATGCCTGTGTTACCCTCATTAGAAAGATTTTAAAGGCAATACAAGGCCTGTCAGATGAAGCCTAGGTAGACAGCTGGCAAACTAGGTTCAGGAAGATTTTTGAACTTGATCTTGGTGGCTAAGAGGCAGCTAAAACATTTTTTGTAAGGGAGAACATTAGAAGTCAGGCTCAGGCACAGCAAAGTGTTACAACTGCGGTTTATCAGGGACTTGGTGGAAGCAAAATAGAGGTACAAGCCACTTCTATACTGGGAAAACTACACCAAGGTCAATCTCCCACACATGAGCTGTAGAAATGTTTTCAGAATTAAGTTGTAACTGGATTATGGTTTTGTATTCTAATGGTCTTCTGAATTCTCTCAGGGTGCCTTCTGAATTCTCTCAGGCACTTTCCACTTTCATTCTCTCTTAGTCTGCATTGTCTGTTTCTCCTCTTGGTACCTCTCTAAAGGAGCTGGTAAACATCTCATGCTCTTATAAAGTTACAGCCCACTTTTCAAAGTGAATATATGGCTATCTTTAAAGCTGAGTAAGGTTTCCCCTTGGATGACTTGTATGTTAACTGGCCTAACTGAAAGGACAAGGTTTTTCTGAGTAGGGGCAAGCTCATTGTTCAAGGGTGTTTATATAGAGAAATCCAGCACATCCCATTTGTTATTTCAGGTTTAGGGCACCAACCACTGGACAGGTGATATTTCACATGTTTCAAAAGATCGGTCAGATTTTACTCAGACAAATTCCCGAAGCTGTCACCTTAATCCATGTCTACTGTATTAGCATATCCTAAGCTTCCCCTCTCATAGCCTGCTAAAAAACTAGCACGCAACTCTAACTGAGCCTCCCTTCCCAGTATTCAGGAAAGAGCTGTTGTTCAGCCCCATTCTCCTCTCCTGACATCTCCCAGGAGATTTCCCAGCCTCTCAGACTCAGCAGTGGTCCCTTCTGCTGTCATTAAGCCCAGCCACAAAGGAGGGGGCATACACTCAGTCTGGGAGTCCCATTCCCCTGCTGACTTCAATGTTCCTGCTACTCCCTTTTTTCGTCTTCCTCTCTCAAATTAATCCTTTTCTGTTTCCCTAACTTCTCTCAAAGTGGTCACCCTTGTGTTTCTGCTGCATTACCGGGAAGTCAGCTCTTTTGCAGCATGGTAGGCTCTGCTGATGCCACTGTCTCCCGGGAGGGTGGTACTGCGGCTGCCTGATGATGGGGAGATGGCACCGCGGTGACATCTTGCCTGACTTAAGTCCCTACCTGGACTAATGGCCATACGGAGATCCAGTCCTGATGTGACCAGATGGCCCCAGCCTATGCAGTAGCGCAGGAGCTATTTTATTTAATAACACATAATGCCAAATACTTGCCGAATGTGTCAAATCTTCCCTAGCGCTGCCGACCTGGCTGCAGGCTTCCTCTCACCTGCTGCCTGGGAGCTGCTCCCCGGCTCTGGCACCCCTTCACCTCCAGCTGGGGGGAAATGAGCTACCCTCCAGGATTGGTGCGCGGCCAGATCCTGCCCGGGGAGGGAGGGGTAGTGCCTGCGCACCGGCGCGGCTCTGGAGCCTCTCCAAGGCCAGCAGCAGGTTTGCTGAGACACCACCCTGCTGGGGAATGCACCTGCCCGGGCCAGGGGTGAGGGCTCGCAGCCTATCGCCGGTGCTGCCCGCGCCGCACCAGGAAGGGGAGCCGGCAGCAGTACCTGTTCCTTGGCAGGCGGTTGCTGGAGGAAGGGAAGAGATCCCCGTGAGCTCCCTCGTTAGCTTGATCCAGTGGAAGGAGAGCCAGGAAAAACCATTACTGTCAGCCAGGAGCAGGGAACAGTGCCGGGCTGTGGTGTGTGGGCAGTGTCTGCTGCAGGTGAGTGAGCCCTCCCCGGGACCTGGGCGTCTGCGGGAAGGGCCGTACTTCATCAGTAGCTGCGGGCAGGTTTGGGGGCTGCTTCAGACATACTTCTTAAGAGATCCTGCCTCTTACCTCCACATCATTTCTTCCTTGCACCATCATGTTTCCTCTCGGCACGTAAGGCTTGGGAGTTTCTTGTTCCTTCGGGAGTCCCAGGCCTCCCTCGGCAGAGGTGTATCAGGACAGGCTCTGGGGGATCAGGATGACGGATGCCTGTTATGCATATAGAGAGGAAGTGGAACACGAAACTTTATAATGGAGCATGCCCAAACTATCTAGATTTCTGTAAAAAGCAGCTGCATGCTGCTCTGTTACAGTAAGCCCTCCACCATCCTTACCCCCAGAGTTCCTAGGCTTAGTGAGAGGAAGGGACGGTCCACCATCACCCAGGGCTTCCCCGAGGCTTTCTGAAAGATGTCTGGTGGCAGATGCTTGTTTCTGGGAACCAGCACCAGGAGTGCTGGCGGGACAGATGCTTGTTTATGGGAAAGCATTATCCCTCTGGCACGGTAGAGAGGGTGGACTCTCCCCAAAGATACAGATTAGACAGCGTATGTTTGCCTGGATTTTGAACAGCCCCAGAAAGGAGGAGCTTTGGGAACTGGTGGTTGATGTAGCAGCCAAAGGAGTGTGGATCTCTTTCTAAGATTTTGGGTGAGACAGACTGATGCCACATAAATGCCCCATTACCCCCATTCCCAGTGGGTTCCTCTGTCCCCACTCCTGATCTCACAGGAGAAGAGAGTGGACCTTCCCACACATCCCAGGGCAGCAGTGTCCCTGCTCCCAGGAGCACAGACAGGCCTTGAGCACTACAACATTCAGAGCTTCTGATTTGTGTATTGGCAGTAATTCAGTCATAAATAAAGATATATGAGCTTCATTCTCTTTGAGCCTACCAGGGAGTTAGGATAGAACAGAATATGCTTAGGAAGCATTTATTTACTGAGAGGGTGGTCAAACACTGCAACAGGCTTCCTAGAGAGGTGGTCGATGCCCCAAGCCTGTCAGTGTTCAAGAGGCATTTGGACAATGCCCTTAATAACATGCTTTAACTTGGTCAGCCCTGAATTGGTCAGGCAGTTGGACTAGATGATCGTTCTAGGTCCCTTCCAGCTGAAATTTAAAATTATAGAATAGAATAGAAAGAATAGAATAGAATAGAATAGAATAGAATAGAATAGAATAGAATAGAATAGAATAGAATAGAATAGAATAGAATAGAATAGAATAGAATAGAATAGAATAGAATAGAATAGAATAGAATAGAATAGAATAGAATAGAATAGAATAGAATAGAATAGAATAGAACAGAACTATTTCAGTTGGAAGGGACCTACAACAATTCAGGGCTGACCAAGTTGGAAAAATTACATGAAAGGATGGGAAAATATGCCTATTCTGGACTAGAGGTTTCTGTGAGGCACAGAGTGGTGGCAAGTCCATCCCAAACAGGGTATGGCCAGACCTGGCCAAGAAGCATCTAAGCTGTGAGGGACTGGAGAAGCAGGGGAAGGAGATGGCTTGTATCTGTTTGAGGTTGTGAGGCTCTGTTGGCTCTCATCTAGATTACTCATGCAAATCGTTTCATGTATTGTTATTTTACAGCAAATATTGTTTGACTGTCCCAGTTTCCATGATGCTCACAGAGTCCACATAGTTGCCTAAAACCCTTCCAAGGCTGGAAGTGCTGCAGGAGCCTGTCCCACCCCCAGGCTGCCCCTCCTGAACATTGTGGGTAAGCAATGACTTGTGGTGTACTCTGGGTTCAGGGATACAAGTGAATTGAGAAGCATTTCAACAGCTGAGTTGTATGTGGCTCTGAAATGAAAGTGTTAATTAACATACAGTCTATATGTCAGATATTAGACAGTCAGACATAAAAAGTCCATAAGTAAATAAATGCATATACCATTCTCTGGCAGTCATCAGGCGTGAGTCTCCCACACCTGCAACCAGGAGTGGCCAGAAACCAGGTGATAATGACCCTCAATTCCCAGTTAAACACTGTTAGAGTAGGGAAAAAAAAAAAAAAAAAAAAAAAAAAAAAAAAAAGAGTGAAAAAGGAAAAACATGAACATTTTTTTGTTTTCCTGCATTCCCAGTGCTTTTCTGTTCTTCCTCCCCAGCTGCCAGTCAGCAGTGGGGAAGGACAGCCTGTCAATTTTTTCCTGAAATGCGACCTTCAGTCAGAAAGCATTGTGTGACTGGGCTGGTCCTCTCCTCCTTTTTCTCTTGTATACAAAGATGGGAGCACTAAAGATACTGGATTCGGTAGTAAGTAAATGGTAGAGATTCATGACCTGAGATACACATTATCAGGCTGTCTATTCTGGTGGGCTAACTGGCTTGAGCTCCCAAAGGGTCTGTGTTATGGTCTATCCCAGACCAGTGAGACCAGGTAGCCCAAAGAAGAGCTACAGACGGGGCAACTGCTGTGGAAAGGCTGTCCTTCTCCCTCATGGCAGAGCAGGGATCCACACCCTTTCCTTTCTCTCAATTTCATCTGGGCAAACTGATGTACTGCATAATGCCAAGAAGCCAGATCATCAAAGTTGCTGCGAGATCTAGTTTCATTCCTTCTCCAAGGAGTGGTGGGTGATAGCCCAGGATAGGGTTCCTTTGGTTTAACATATAAAGACAGTCAGATTTTTCTTAAAAGGATGGAAGGCAATGCACCCATGCTGAGCAATGGGAAACTGTAGTTAGATTTAAGGAAAAAATGATTTGTGATGAGGATGGTTAAACACTGGAATGATTCCAGAGGGGCTGTGGACCCTCCATCCCTGGCAGTATCCAGCACCCAAGTGGATGGGGCCTTGAGCTGCTCAGTCTGACTCTGAGGTTAACTCTGCTTTAAACAGGTAGATGGACTAGGTGACTGTGCAAGGTCCCATCCTGAATTATTCTGTGATTCTAAGAGTAAAAATACTGTTATTAGCTGCATAAACCCTCATGGACTAGAGAAGCCCAAGCAAGTATGGTTGCTTATAAAGCAAAAAAATTATATTCCCAGAACATTTTAAAACAGACACAAGGAAACATGGAGGCACATTTCAGTGGAAGCCTTTGCCTCTCTGAATCATTTGCTTAACAGAAGTTAATATAACACTGGAAAATACATGCTCATAGAGGTCACACCGTATTTTGTTCTGCAGCCAGATACCCTAACATTTTTATCTTGCTCCCTGACGTTCTTCTGAGCAAATAAAAATTAAAATGGTTAAATTTAAAAAAGTAATGTAAGAATCCAGTGACATAGCTTGATTTTTGGTCACATTTTCCGTCATTGTGATTTGTGCTGTTGTGGTTTTTTTTCTTACTGTTTGACTCACAACTTGTGTGCGCAACTTCGGTCAAGCAGCAGAAGGCCACAGACTTTGCACTTCTCCAAGCTTTTTGTTTTCTAAGTCCAAAATCTCAATCTAATCTACAAACCTGCTATCTACTAGACTCACTCATTTGCTGGTAAGGAGATAAGGCAGCTCTGTGCTCGGAGAAGGAAAGGCAGGAGGAAGTAGTGCTTAGCACTGAGCTGGTTTGCATAGGCTGGGGAAATGTCTCCAGGTTCAATGTCTTTTCACCCCTCTAGTTTGAAGGTGCCCGGTGACATCCTCACCTCCTCGGGGACCTGTGTCCTGGGCACATGCAGACGCACAAGCTATCTGCTGTCTCATGCAAAATCAAAGTGGGTCCCAGCAGGCATAAATCAGCATAGTCAACCACAGCTGTAGTTTTTCTCTCTAATTGATGCTTTCTGATTTTTCTGGCTCTAGCCAGGAGCTGCAGATCTCCCACGGGCCTCCGGGTGAGTTTCTGCGCCCCGTCCCGCTCCCTGCCCAGGCGGTTCAAGCGCCAGCAAACCCGCGGTGGTTGGAGACTTCCTGCACACGTGCTGCCAGCTGGCAGCATGCCCCGAGCCACGTCCAAAGTGACCTCATGCTCCATCACAGCCGGGGAGTGACTCAGGAGGAGCTTGGCCTGACACTGTCAGGCGGTGGCTGGTTCGGGTACCCCCCACACTATTGTCCTCCCTCTCCCCCCACCCCATGTTGGCGTGTCTCCGGTGGAGGGGGAATTTCAGGCGTTTGTTGGTAGCAAAGGCATTGCCATAAGGGGATGCGGACTGTGGAGACTGTCTGAGGACGCAGATTGCTGTGGGAGGAAAGATCCTTGGTGTGTGCAGAGCTGCCATGCGTGGAGGTCACAAACCGTCCCCACCCAGAGTCCAGTAATGAGCTCAGGGTCCCGCTGCCATGCAGAGCAGGGCACAAAGACAAACGGAGTGTGTTTGGCATGGGCTGACAGGCTCCTGGAGAGCTGTTTCTAGCAGGCAGGGTGCTGTGTGGCTGTACCCCTGCCTGGGAGAAATGACACAGCTCTGACACAGGGGATCTGCATCAGTTCCTGTCCCCGCCACGGGCTCCTGGGGGACTCTGAGCAGTTTGTGTGTGTGTGTGCCCGTGATGGCTGAGGGTGCCTTGTCCTGTCCTGACCAGGGAGGCAATTCGTGGGTTTCCAGGCTCCGCTATGCCTGAGATACTCCCATGCTGTCCCCCCCAGCACCTCTCCTTGTTTTGGGCACTAGCTGCACTGGAGGCTCTCTCTGGTGCTGCAGAACCAGCCGGAGCACTCAGATGCTGGGGTGGGATATTATGTGAGAGAAATGCAAGTGGTTTCCACTCTTGGTGTAAAGCTGTACCCAGAGAAGGGTGGAGGGGGGCCAGGCTGCTGGGGAGGTGATAAGCCTGGGAAGGCAGGCTGCGGATTGAGACAAGGTGCTGTGCCGGGGGGAGCCCAGCTAAGCACAGCACCACGGAGCCTGCCTCCACGCTGCAGCCACAGCCACGCTTCTCCTGCTCCCCTCCCGTGGTGAAGTGCTTCAGGGACCAGCAGAGAGGAGAGCAAAATTGCGGGGTGCCAGGTCCTCGTTGTCTGGGGGCTCTTTCCAGGGAAGTGCTGAGACTATTGGAGATGTAACCATCATATTTCTGTGGGGAACTTGGGATGGGGAACCGCCGGCAGTGCAAGCGTAGGGACAGGTCTGAGAACACTCAGCAAGGTCAGCTCTTGCTTTTCCAGTGACTGGACTGGAAGGGTTAAGCCCCGGTCCTGACCCCCACCTCCTGCTGTCATTCTGGGCAGCAGAGCCAGTTGGTGACAAGAGGCTGATGCTGATGAGGGAGCATGTGAAGCCGCAGCTGTGAATGGGCCTTTATCCCAAGAGGGACCTGCCTCTGCTCCGTCCCTGCCCTGCTGCCAGCACCAGCTGCAGGCAGAGTCCCATGGGCAGCGATGTGCCAGTAGCCTCTGAGCGGGGCGCTCGGGGCTGGGCAGGCAGGAGACTCACCCTTGGGGCAGGCTGAGGTCTCTCCGAAGTGCGTGGAGCTCTCCCGGGAAGACGTGTGTGGCTGATCTGTTGCTCCAACGCATGGGACTGCTGTGAGGGAGGCAGGGGAAGGTCCGCAAGGCAGCCTGGAGCAACCAAGGCCCAGGGTTTGGCAGGGGATTGTTTTGTACAGGGGAGCAGGGTCTCTGTTTAATGATATCTTCTCTTCTTGACTCTTTCAGACAAAAGACACAGGAAAGGAAGGACGCAGCCCTGGTTCTTTCCTTATGGTGCTGCTCTGGGGATGCTCCACCATGTCCTGCAGCCCTGCCCGGGGGGTGGGCTCAGCCCCAGCGTATGGACCATAGCTCTTCAGGCTGCACTGCTGCAGAAGGGAGCTCCACCAGGCTCTAAAGAATGAGACAGAGTCATCCCTGCTTGAGAAATGCAGCTGCCTTCACAACCACTGCTGCCTTGACCCTCCACTTCACTGTAAGGGTGTAGATTCACCTGTGCAACCACCCCGCTGTGCCCTCCGCACCCAGCTGCCCACCATGCCGGAGCTGGCAGAGCTGAGCAGCCCCCGCACCCCCGCGGACGCGGGCCACATTCAGAGGAACATCCTGGAGGAGCATGTGGAGCTCTGGTGGTTCCAGGACCCCAAGAAGTCCATCCTGTGCTATGGGATGGCAGTGGTGCTGATCCTGGCCTGCGGGATCGGGGGCATCATCCTGCTGTATAGCACTAGCAGCCGCTCTGGGGAGTGGCGGCTGGCTGTGGGCACCACGCTCTGCCTCCTGGCCCTGCTCGTGCTGCTGAAGCAGCTGCTGAGCTCTGCAATACAGGACATGAACTGCATCCGCAGCCGGGATCAGATCGAGCTCCTGAAGAGTGGGGGCTTCTCGGACTGCCTGGTGCTGCTGCTCAGCGCCCTGGTGCTGGTGGTCTGCGGGGTCGTGCTCACCATCCTCTCCACCACGACCATGCAGCCGAGCCCCGCGCGGCCGCTGGCCAGCATGTTCACCAGCGGGGTTGTCCTCCTGGCTGCTGGCAGTGCCATCCTCCTCTGCCTGCTGCTCTACCTGCTCTGCACCTCCTGTCACCAGGCTGCTCCTCGGAGCCTGGAGACCGGCGAGATCCGTGTCTTCACCATCTCTGGCCGCCTCGCTGCAAACAGGCGGCTTCCTCCCACCTCCAGCATGGCCAACCTGATCTGACCCAGGACACCCCTGCGTGAGCCTCACTGGATATGACCCATTGGCAGGGCTTGTGCCGGCCTTTCCCACAGGAAGGGCGAGCGTTGCGGTGTGCCTTGTGCTTCTTTCGGCGATGACTGGCATTTGCTTTGCCCCAGGCTGACGGCGCAGCAGAGACTTGGGGTGCCTGGTCGAGCTCTGTGACCTGGCGCCTTAGGAGCGCAGCACTGGCCTGGTTGGTGTTTTACCTCCACAAAGCCTCCTGCGACAGCGCCTGCCTGCCCAGCTGTGACCCCTGTCAGAGTTAAGGTGAGCCTGTCCTGTACCCCTGGGGATCCCAGTACTTGCTTAGTTCCTGCAGCTCCCGGAGCTGTGTCGTGCACTCTCCTGGCAAGAGAAGCTGTAATTGCAGGTGGTATAAAACCACCCCGTGCTCTGTGCAGAGCTGCCAACTCCTGAGCGAAGTAGAGCCTCTAGCAGCTGATGAATGGCAGGAAGCATTCTGCCTGCCAGCAGACAGGCAGTGCAAGCAACGGGAGCTTGGTGGGAGGTACGGCTGCAGGGGCTGCTCCGGAGAAAGCACCTGTGTGTCTGTGGGATTTGCATGGGATTCTGTGTGCCAGAGCCCCAGCATGGCTGGACCTCACGTGAAATGCCACTGGTGTTTGCCACGCCAGGATCTTTTCCAATATTGCATTTCTGCAGCCCACCACCTTCTGTGGTTTACCAAAGCGGTGATCAAAGGGTGTTGGTATCAAGCCCCTGACAGGTTATCGGTGCTGGACTGTGTGCTGGGGCTCTGTTGTCATGCCAGTGTGCTCCAGTCACACGAGTCACAAACACCAAGGTGCAGTGGCAGGGGGGATGGTGACGGGATGCCCGAATCCCGGGGCCGGTGCTGCCGCTCTGCAGGGGCGGTGCGAGGGGGCAGCGCTGCCGCCCTCCCAGAGCAGTACCCCAGGCAGGGGCACCCCCACTGCCACGGGAGCTCACCCCAGTCCCTGCCTGCTCCCACGAGTTTTCTGTCTCTCAAGTGCTGCAGCTGGTGTGGGGCAGAAAAGGTCTTCTCCTACCACTTGGGCCTTACCTGGAGCTTTTTTGATGTTTTATCTCTACAAGGTGTCTATCACTGAGGTGTCTTTCCCAGAGGCAGACTAACAACTTGCCTCCGGGAGCTTTTCCTGTGACTTGAGGCTAATTTACCTGTCAAAATTCTCATCTCCTCCCATGAGCGATTTCACTGACCTTTCCATAGACACTGATCCTTACCTCCTAGCAAAGCTGCACCTGTGCACCCTGCTCTTCCTCTTCATCTTGCTGTCTGCTCCCATCTCCTCCTCACCTGAGCTGCTCTGCCCCAGCTGTTATTTTTGCTCATGATTAGCTAAATTCCCTCTGTAATGGAGCTATTGTTTTTTGGTGCCTGGTAGCAAATTTATTTCGAAGAGGATGGTAGCTCATGTTGCTCATTCCCTTAGTAACAGCACCAATCAATCACTGTCCGTGTTGCACCTGGAGGCAGTGTCAGAGTTCAGCATCAGTGAACCCCACCAGTTACACGCTGGACAATGAGGTCTTCATCCCATTGCAGCTCCAGACCACACCATCTCCGATGCACTCAGATAGCATGAGGGCATTTCTGTATTCGTCCGCTCTTGCCCGGCTCCTGCTGGCTTTCCTTCCACCAAAGCCCTGGATTGTCTTCCTCAAAGTAGAGGAACATCATTTTGGCTTTTTTTTCTGGATGTCTGATATTTCTACATTTTCCTCTGCCACTTTCACATCACCCATAGATTTTCTTAAACTGCTCTTTCCTCCTCTCTCTGCACCACTTCCCTTAATCTGCCCAAGAGTTCATAAAGTGTTACTAAGCTCAGGTCCTTCTGTGCTAAATCCTCTGCAAAGCAAAGAGCTGTCCTTCCCCTCTGGGCTGTTTCACCCCAGGTCCAGCAGGGACCCCTGTGTGTGCACAGGGAGGGACAGGCCAGAGCTGCACAATTTTGCACCATCACTGTTGCTGCTGTCCCGCATGTCGGTGTCAGTGCATGTGCAGTTAAGCCAAGCTGCGCTGCCTCTACCTGCATCAGTGCTTTAGCAGTTACGCCCAGCTCCCCCAGCCTGCATGTGTGGACAGGCCACAGCTGCCTGCACACCAGCTGTTTTGCACATCTGGGCATTTCTGTGAAGGTGTGTGACTGTGCCCAGCTCGCAGCTCCGTGCTGCCTGCATGCCAATGTGAATCATCCCCTCCGTAGCCCCTTCAAAATGTGCCCAAAGTGCCCACAAGTTGTGCCAGAAGAGGATGCTCGTGGGGCGTGTCAGCAACCCAGGGAAATAATGGCTGAGAACAGGCTGTCCCCAGAGATGGCGGTTTGGGTGTCCAGCTGCTCAGACCAACAGCCGGTGCTGCCCCAGTCACTGACTCACCCCTGCAGCAGCGGTACTGGCTTGTTCCTTTCTTGATTCCTGTGTTGTGTGTGGAAACACATAATAAAGTGTTACAGAAGCCAACTGTGCTGAAGGCTGATGCTTGAACGTCGGCCTCGGCGGAGCAGGAGGTGGCAGGTCTGTGCAGAGCTGGCCTCTGTTCAGGCTGAGCCCAGGGCAGAAACCATGACAGCCCAGGGTCCCTCCTGAGGCTGTGATTTTGGCTCCTCAGCTAGTGCGGCACCACCACCACCACAGCCCCCAAACACATGTACTCATTTCCTGATATACAACTCCCACCTCCAGATGCGTGTGCATCTCCTTCTGCTTAAGGACCCAAACATAGCCGGTCCCCCTTACTACTGCTCTATGAACCTAAGACCTCTTCGTGCCCCTGAAAGATGCTCACGTGGAGCACGCAAAGCCTCCTGAATATGTCAGTGCTGGCTGGGTTATTTACGGAGAAGCTGTTTCGCCCTGCAGTAGGGCCAAGCCTTGAGCCTGGCGGCTGCGGCTGATGCCTGCAAGGAGCCGGGAACCAGTCTGCCCGCATGCCTGCTACTGCCAGCCCCAACCACGGTCCTTCCAGCAGCTTCCTGAGGGGACTCCTCCTCGAGAAGGCTTCTCCTCCTCTGCTCTGACCCCCCTGTATTTCCAGCTCTGCCTGCCAGATGCATTTCCCCCTCTGCAAGCTGCCAGGCTCCTGCCTGCTTGCACTGGAGCTGCCTGGGGAGGAGGCAGAGGAACTGCTACAGGACTGGGGTCCCCTGCACACCAGAAAAACAGCCACTTCTGCTCTGTTAAAGAAACAGGTAGGCCTCCCAGCAGCATCAAAGTAGACAAGCAAACCACCACTATGTACTGAGGGACAAGAGTGAGCGAGATCCTGCATAAATAAGCCTGGGCAATTGTAGTTTTAATCTCTTTTAAGACATTGCTGAAACCAAAAGTAAAATACTGCATCTAGCACAAGTTGTTGTGATTGAAAAGCATGTCAAAAAGCCCAGAAAATACCCTCCAAAAGATAACTGAAATGCATTTTCCCAGCCCTCAGATTTGTCTCCTATCTTACCTGAAAAATATTAGAAATTTCCCAAAATTACAGCATATATTGTATTTTCACTGGTAGCTGTTAAGATGAGGCTGGAAGGCAAAACATGAGGTAGTGACTGCACAAGTAAAGCTCAGTTTATAACTACAGCATTTAGGAGCGAAAACTGGCTGACCACCGAAACAAGCCAGCAGGTTTTCCTCCTCCTCCTCCTCGCTTCAAATGGCACGTTCCCTCTCTGGAAGCTGCTTTAAATCACTGGCCTGTATCGCCCATCCAACGCCTGACCCCGTCATTCCCTTTAGTTTACATTCTCTGACGTGTATTATTTACTTTTGTGTACAGTGTGTTCTATAAATAACTTAATAAAGAGGGAAATAGAAAGGCACTTTACAGTGAAATGGAGGTTTGGAGGAGATGGAGGGCTTAGTCATGCAGCAGGGCTGCAAGAAATGCTGTCCCTATGATGACACTTCATGCTCTGGAGCATGATGGAGAGATTCCTGGGTTATTAGGGGCTGTAACAACTGGGCTGTGCCTTAGAAAATCTTCCCAGTTCAGTGGTACCAGCCTTGTCAAACACTTACTAAGGAGGGTGAATGCCGCTGCTTCTCCCTGCTTTTAACTCCAGCATGACCCACACAAACACGACCGGCTACAGCAGAAACAACTTGCAGATACCTACATCTCATGAGCTGTTTATCGTACCACAAAGATGACAGGAATGCAAAAATTACAATGTTCGTATAACTCCACAGTTAGAGATACAGCCGGGACTCTGTAATGGGTGCCGGGGGACAGAGCTGTCTCACCCCAGCACACGTGCCTGCCTGACGCCACGACCGGCACCGCCAACAAGTTTGCTCAGCTCTGCAGAGCTGACATGGAAAGGTAAGTGCCTTTCTAGCACATCTTGCCGGAGAGGGAAGAGGGAAAAGAGAGAAGTGACGTGGCGGGAAGCAACGCTGGAGAGACATGCATGGAAACCCTGCAACGACGCACCAGGGCTGCCTGCACCAGAGCAGGTGACAGATTTGTTTGTACAAGAGCATTTGTCGTGCCACAGACCTGTTCTCTCACTGCCATAGTTAACGAGGAATGTATTTATGGTCCTTGAAAGCACATGCAAAAAAAGCCGCACCCCAGCTGGGGGGCTGGCGAGTCTCCCCCCTAGCACCGCCTTTGGGGAGCCCTGACAAACCATCACAGGCAGAGGCAGGGTTAAATCATACTTTAATCACACCCCTGAGTGACAACACATTGAGGGACAGAGCAGGGCTGGCTCTAGCACCGTGGGACAGCGGGGCCAGTGCCTGAGACCTCGCAAGGAGCACCAGGGCAGGCTGTTTTTCCCACCCCACCAGGCTGCCCAGGTGGGATAGGCACCATCTCCCTCATCCTCAGCATCCAAGCAGGTCTGGGAGAGCAGCAGCGGGTCTGCCGTCCCCGTGCCAGTGTAGCTCCACTGGCATCACACTGGGGCACTGTGGAGCCGGCTGCCTTCAGCCTCCGTCACCACACCCAGCCCACCCCTTCTGTCCCCTCCTTTCCTCCTGCCCACAGCCTGGTGGGGCCAAAAGCTGAGAGAGGGTGGGAAAGGGCAGGAGAGGGTGGAGGTGAGGGGGTGGAGGCTGGGCTGCAGGCTCAGATGGAGAGGTGCAATTCCCGCTCCTCTTCCTCCGGCAGCTGCTCACTTGGCTGGATGTAGTTGTCCTCAATAAAGCCGTCATCATCCTCAGCTTGCAGGTCAGCAGCACGGGGCATGGGATGGCTCTCGCAGTCCCCCCGGCCTGAGGAGCCCCGGTCCCAGCTGCTGCCATCCTCCATGGGGCTGCCTCCAATCGAGCTGGTTTCGGGCAGCGGCCGGTGGCGGTAGCTGGCGAAGTTCTTGTGGAAGAGCTTGCACTTGGCAGCCAGCGCAATCAGGATGGAGATGCCGATTGCTGCCACCAGGAAGCCCACCAGGTACGGCCAGCTCCTTCCCCCCTTCCCGGCGGGCGGTGTGGTGGCTGCGGCGCAGGAAAGGCACATCAGGGCACGGCGGGTCAGCCTGCGGCATACCCAGGGCTCCTCAGCAGCCAGCCCTGTGCATGCCTGCAGCGTGCAGCCAGCTCTGGATTGCTTTCGTTAGGAGTAATATAAATGCTCTTCACCAAGAGCTAGTTACCAAGGGCGTGTGAACACTGCGGGGAAAACTGTTGGGCGGTTCTCCGATACTGGTGCCCATCACCATCGAGTCTGTGCTCTGTGTGGTTTTGTGGCATCTGCTGACTCCTCTGTTGCAAAGCCAGCAAAGACCTCCGGGTGGTGGCCACCCTCCCCACCACGCCACCATTGGGGCCACCCTCCCCACCAAGCCACTGCCCCGGCAGCAGCCGGGCAGCCTGAGCCCCTGGGACCGCGGGGCAGAGCAGGGGGTCTCCACCTGCGGTTTCCTCTGGGGTGAGGGAGGGCAGGAGGGAGCAAGACCTTGCGGACACCTCTACAGCTGCACAACTTACTGTTGCTGTGGGTCACTGTGATCTGCTGCGCCGTGCTGACCCACCGAGGAAACCGCCGCTTCATCGGGCAGCCCAGGTCCTGGGAATCCAGAGCTGCGACCTCCCGGCCCTGCAGCCCCGGGGGCGACGCGCAGGTCACCTGCACAGCTGGGAGACACATGGGCTAAGGTGGGACGGGGGGGTCCTTGCCCATCTCCTCCCCAGTTTAGAGAAGACTATCCCTGCTTGCTCCTGAGTTGATGGGACACATCACAAGGTGCTCCTGGCTCTGCCCTCCAGACTCGCCAGCCCTCAGCACTTTGTAAGGCACAACCAAAGAAAAAAGTCCCTGACCAAGGAATCGTGCAAGTGTGTGACTGATTAGCAGTCTCCTTTTAACTGGATAATGCCAAATTCATGGATACTAATAGAAACACCACTGTCACAGGGCTGCTCTCACTTGGGAGCTGAGCTCCCAGGATAGGAGCTGATCTGGCTCCACAGGAGGAGCTGCCAAGTGCTCAGCAGCTCTTGAAAATGTGGTCACTCCACATAGACACATACAGGTGGATTTAGGGGCTGAAGTGCACATGCAGCCCCTTTCCCAGAAGCGTGGCTAAATTATCCTGCTGTCATTCCTAGAAATCTTTGGTATCACGTGTAACTGCAAGCGAGGAACAGACACATCACCGTTCAGTTTGCTGTCCCTCGACAGGGTGGGACAGGTCCCTGGAGAGCCATCTCAGAGCCTGCCCAGGGGTTGGAGCAAAAGAATGCAGTGGGACCCCTGCTCCCAGGGTCCCTCCCACCCAACACCCCTCCTGCCACCCGCCCCTGTCCGCTCACCTTGCCTGCGCTGCAGCCACTGCTGCAGAGGCTGCGCGCCGCAGTCACAGGCCCAGGGGTTCCCTTCCAGCTGGACCCACGGGACTGCCTCCATCAGCTGCAGGCTCCGAGTGTCCACAGAGACCATCACATTGTGCTGCAGGTCCAGGTGGAAAAGAGCCTTCAGCGGCAGGAAGAAAGGGACCTCAAGCTCTTGCAGACTGTTGTTTCTTAGGAGCAGTGTGTGCAAGTTTCCCAAGCCCTTGAAAGCGTCCGTGTGGAGGTAGGTGATGCTGCAGCTGCTCAGGTCCAGCAGACGCAGTGCCCTGAGGTTGGAGAAGATTGCTGGGCGTAGCACCAGCAGGGCATTGCTGGAGAGGTTGAGGGAGTGCAGGGAAGGGAAATGCATCAAGAGAGTCCCGTGATGGGGCACGACCAAGGAGTTGAAGGAGAGGTCCAAACCGGTGATGTTGCTTGGAAGGGAACTTGGAGCATGCAGGAGGCTCTTCCTGTTGCAGTCAGCCCATCCCTGAGAAAAGAGCTGCTGTCTGAGATGGGCTCTCTGTGCTGGGCTATCTGTAGACTGAGACTCCCCAGAAGTTCAAATCTCTTAATTAATTGCCCTTGCAGAGTTTAAAATAGCAAAGACACGTGTTTAAGAAACACATGAGTTGCCAGTTTAGTGTGGGCCATGGTAATTGGAGACAGATGAGCAGGACTGGGAGCAGTCAACTGAAGGAGTAAAAGAGGAGCATGGAGAGCTGGGGGAACCCAAACAGACGAGGCGGGTGCGAAGGGACCAGGTTGTCACCCTTCTGTCCTGCCTTACAGGGCAGCTGTTATACGGGGTCAGCTTGCAGAGGCCCTTCCTCTTCCTCCCCAGATGCCCACCTCCAGCCCCCAGGGCATCCTCCCAGCAGGGGCAGGGCAGCAGGTGAGACCCCTGCCCACTACAGGGGCAGGCAGGCAGCGGCGGCCAGCCGGGCTGCGGAGCGGTGGGCACCTGCACCAGGCCCCCACGCCAAGAGCTGGATATTGCACCCTGCATTTCTGAGGATACACTGCGAGTGGCAGAGGCTACTAAACAAAACAGACCAGGGACCATTTGCTGGTCCCGAAAAGCCAGCAATGTGTGCTGGATGGATCGATCAACACGCATGCAGGGATATTTTTTTTTCTCTGAAAATTTAAGTTCATTAATTTAAGTTTGGTTGGGCAGGCATGGGCCCCTCAGTGCTGTGTTTGGGCCCTGCAGGCAGAGAGGCCATGCTGGAAGTTTGCTGCAGTCCATAGTCCTGGGTTTCTAGGTCTGGCTGCCTTCCAGCTCGCCGGCCTTTCCATTTCTTTGCCTCTTGCGTGATCACCTCTCCTTTCATCCTCCTGTTCACCTAAATCTCCTTTCAGGCCCTGCCACTTCTGCTCGCTGGAGGAACAGATGTGCACTTATAAACCTGGGCTGCTGAGGACTGGCTTATAACGGGGCCGTGCCACTGGGAGACCACACAGGTCCTGTCTTAAGCTCAAACAGGGCTAGGTTCAGGGAGGCTGGGGAAAACAGTGTAAACTTCTTGAGGGAGTATCTGAGAGCTTGGTGGGCAGCGCTGCCCTGTGCCATCCGCCCGTGACAGCCGCTTTTCCTGCCTCCTCCCGGCTCCTGCCCGGCACAGCCGAGCTGCTGGCTGCAGCCCTTGTCCCGGCGGGATGGGTTAGTTCTGTTTCCTGCCCCTCGCCAGGCACACAGGGATCCTGACCCCATGGCTGCCCTGCCCCTGGCTTCAGTCCCTGCATCACTCTGCACTGGAGAAGGGAGTGAGGGGCTGGGAGCCCCTCGGGGATGTGCCTCGCCGCTGCTCACCCTGCACCCCTGGTGGGTGGCGGTGTTATGGCTGCAGCCAAGAGACCCCAAGAGCCAGAAACGCCACACAAGGCTTCGCCAGCCCTGCCATGCCCCAGTGAACGGGCTGGACAACATGAGGTGTTCAGCCCGAGGCTGGGAGCAGGGGTGTCGTGGGGCTGGGAGCGGGACAGCCAGGCTCCACGTGTGGGTGAACCACCCCCGTGGCTGGTGGCCACTGGCACAGCACATCTCCCAGTTACCTCTGCTTGCTCCCGTGGGTTTTCATTGCTCATTGCCTCTCCACCTGTGCGGAGCAGGAGCTGCCTGCCAGGTCCTGCTGCCCCGCAGGAGGCAGGACGGGGAGCGGGGTGTCCCTGCCCACCCCCAGCTGCTGCCCGCACGGGAGCCCCCTCAGCCCCCCCTACCTGGTGGTCAAGACCGCAGGGGTGTCCCATCACCACTGACCAGGCGCCGAGGAGGCCGCAGACCCCGAGCAGGCAGGCAGGAGCCATTTGGCTCCAGGAAACCGCCAGGCAGAAAAACGAGTCTCAGGGAAAGCTGGGGAAGCCGGTGGAGCCGGCTGTGCCGGGCGAGGTGTGGCCGCAGCCGCACAGTCTGGGGGCCCCTCGCCGAGCCCCCCGCGCCCCGGCCGCTCGGCCCCACGGACCACCAGCGCCTGCGAGCCAGCCCCGCTCCCTCCCCACGGCTGCGCGCGGGTGGAAGGTGGTGGCACCGGTTACACATTAACCGCCGCGCCCCGCCACCTCCCACCCGCTGCCTCCCGTGACGGGTGACCAGGGTACTGCCTGGTGGACCGCGGGGTGCCGTGGGGGCTGCCTGAGTGGGAGTAGAGCACCAGGAGGTGCTGGGGGGGGGGGCCAGAGGAGGAGGGGGGCACCTCTGTGGCATCCGCCCTGAGATGGCCGTGCTCGAGGAGAGCAGCCTGGGCCCAGCTCTACGCACCCAGGACAGGGGCATGCCGCAAGCCTGGGCCAGAGAAGCTGGGGCTGAGGCAGCAGGAAAGTGTCCTACAGGAAAATAAAAGTTTTATTGGGATTCAGGCAGAAAGGTGTTTAAAACATGCGACAAATGTTCAGGTCCCTGGGCCTGGCAGCGGCTCAGCAGTGTTGGCCTTCCAGGATCAGGGAGCTGCTAATAAAAATACGACTTCCCTGAGCTGCACCCAGGGCTCCTGTGAAGGTCCCAGAGAATGGGGGGTGCCCCACCACCTCTGGCACCCCACACGCAGCCCCACCGCTCATCAGCAGTGCTCCCCCCGCCAGCCCTGCTGTGGAGTCAGTGAAAATCTGGGAAATCACGTCAGAGCAGCATCTTGTGGGTGTTTGCTGACACACAGTTGGGTGGGATATGCTCCCCTGCCCACGGGTGCTGGGGTGGGTGAGTGGGAGAGGCCTGGCAGAGCCGCAGCCCGGGCAGGGGAAGAGCTGGCAGTGCCCGCTCCCACCTTTGCCTCTGCAGCAGAAGGGAGCCCCAAGCTCTCTTCCCCACTCCCCATTCCCTGTTTCCACTCCTGCTCAGTGGCAGGAAGCCGCCTGCCGACAAGAGCACTTCGGATCTGCAGTTTCCACGCGGGTGGCAGCCGGGACAGGGCGGCCCCGCTTCCCCCAGCTGCCAAGGGGCTCCTCTGCCGCCGCATGTCCCACCCTTTCCTCGGGGAAAGGGTTTCTCAGCAGCCTGTCCTTCATCCTGAGAGTGTGTGGTGGATGCCAACACAGCCGGGCAGCTGCCTGCTCCCCAGCTACCCTGCTGATGCAACCAGGAGGGCTGAGGGTGCTCGGCCACCCTGCTCCTGGGCTGCTCTTATGCCTGGTGGCAGCAGCCCTTAACCCAGCCTTGTAGGGTCCCCAGGACCGGCTGTGCACGTAAAACAAAACAAATGGCCAGAGGAGCAAGGCTAGAAAATGTTGCTGAAGCAGCCCAGCTCATGGGTGGATTTGCAGGGCGTTTGCATTTCCTAACAGGAAATGTATCGGTGTGCTATGGTTTCTGGCATGCGGTGCCATGCATTAGAATGTGCAAATGATAACAAAAAGGGGTATTTTTGTCACCTTTTTTTTTTTTTAGTCTGTCATGATTCAGCAAAAAAAGATGAGGTTTGTGAATTCAGCAGAAATCCAGGTGCTTTCACTGTGTTGTGGGTTGGGCAGCTGAAGCTTTTTGTATTACAGGAGAGCAAGTGTGGTGAGCTGCTTTGGCTGGGCTCGGCTGCACCTGGCTCCCTGGTCCCTCCTCTGGAGATACATAAGGTTAAACTGGAGCTGTAGGGTCCTAGTTCGGTGTCCCCACAAGACCTCCCAGAGAAGTTTCCTAATCCACCTCTAATCCAAGAGATCTGCACAAATAGACACCTCTTATCCAGATGATCCTAGAAAAAATGCAAGGGGACAAATCAGCTTGGGTCAGAGCCTTCAGTGGATCCCTGATATCTCCTGGCCATCACCTGGTGTGAAGATCTGACCTCACCTGGCTCCCATTCCCCAAAGGAGAGAAGAAACGCGCCGGTTCCCCTCAGGCAGCAAGAGGATCCATGCTGCGTTCCCTGGAGGAGCACGCTGCAGGGACTGAGGTTGCAAAGCCTTCCCATACAGCGTGTTTGTTCGGTGCAAATAATCCTGTCCTCAAATGGATCCTCGTGTCAGAGGACATTTCACAGAGTGCATCATAACTCACAGCTCTGTGTGCTGCTGGGGGAACACAGGACGAGTTACTTCCCGGGGCACAGCACACGTACACGCACGGCGGCACGACGGCAATTACAGTTCTGAGCGTGACTGGCCTCTGCAGCCAGTGAACTAAAGGAAGAAGCCACTTATTTATCTATTTGTGTATCTGTCCCCTTCCTGCAGCTGTACTAAGTGCACAGATGAGTCCCCGACCCAATGCGCTTGCAAATGAGCTTGGGGTTGGCCAGGCAAATGGGGATGTGGGGTTCCACAGGAGAGCACTGATGGCAGGAGGGACCAGCCTTGGCTGCCCAGCCCCTGCGTGCCCTGCTGCAGGACAGCCTCGTGCTCCACACTGACATTATGGTTGTGCTTCAAGTACCCTGGGGGTTCTCTCAAAACCAGAGACCCTCGGCTACGCACAGCCCACAGCAAAGCACTGTGCTTAGTTTCCCCAGGCAAACGGGGGCAGCTGCATCTGGTGTCCCTCTTTTTCAGATCCTCTCCATCCCTCCTGTCGTGGGGTGGCTGTGCTGGGGCAGCCCCTGCCCGCTGCCATCCCTCCCTCAGCACACCGTGGGCACCGCGCGACCCCAGAGCGCGCTGTAAATAGTCGGAAGCGATGAATGGATTTCCCCTTCCTCTCCATGTGTGCTTTAGATTTTTGGCCGGATACGGCACGGGCTCGGGACATACCAAAACATGAGGCTTGCTCCCCGGCAGCCCTGGCTTTCACGTGGGAACAGTTCGATTTGTGAAGCAGTATGAGGTTTGATGGGTGAAGCTTACAGTGATTTCCTGGAGAATGCCTTTCGCTTGCCAGTGACGATGCCCGTTCCGGCACTGTGCATGGGAAAGTGCTCAGGGAAAGCCAGGCTTTCTGCTGCTTTCCACTTCCTCCCAGACACGTTTGCTGCAACATGGAGGTTTTTCCCCCCCAGCAGCGGCCACCCTCCCGTGTGAGCTGGCCGTCTTTTTGCCTGTGCTCCCACTCAGCCCCTTTCAACCCAGCCCTCCAATGGGCTGCTGCTGGTGTGCATCAGGCCCCGGCACAGCATGGAGCCCAGGCGGGGCCGTGCCTCGGCACCCCGGCTCGTGGCGGCGGGAGGCCGGGGTGTCACAAGGTGTGTACGGCCTCAGCGCTGCCGCACGCCGCTCGCCAGGGGAGGGCCTGCACAGGGCAGCTCCTGCCAGCTCCTGGAGTCAGGGCCGTCTCTGAACAATGGGTGGAGAGCAGGAAACGCTGCATGGGAAACAGGATTTGGCTCCGCCGCCGCCGCCAGCCACGGCCCCTTGGCCCCTTTCCTTTCCCTGCTCCAGAGAGCCCTTCCCACAGCCGTCAGCCACAGGGCTACACCGAGGGGACGGGGATGCTGCCACCCAGGCGGTCTCGGGCATGAGACCTTCTGCACGACGGACAAGGAGGGGGGTCGGGACACCTCCCAGCTGGGCCAGGGGCTCAGCATGGCTTGGGGAGCCCTGAGCACGCAGACCTAGCCCTGTGGGGGTGTGCGCCTGCTCCCCAGGAGAGCTGCCACCAGGCAGGAGACCTCAGTGGCCTCTTTGCCACCAAGCCCCGCTACTGAGCAGCTGGGTGGCCACCGAACAAGCGGAGACTGGGGCGTCTTCCTCGCTGTACCCAGGCTATGCACCAGAGGAGGTGGTCCTGGCTGCCCCGGATGCCAAGCAGCAGGGTGGAGGCGAGATGGGTGGCACGGGCAGGGAGCATGGGTCCTGAGCTGCGGCTCACGTGGAGCCCCTAGGCAGCCACGGCCTCCGGCACTGACCACTGTGGCTGGGACATGCTGGGGATTTTCTGACCTCTGCCAGATACAGGACACGCTCCAAGGACATGGGACTCCAGGTTTATCTTCTGCTTCTCTTCCCACGGCTGGCAGGTAAATCGTTGCTTTCCCTCTGCCCCAGGGAGCAGCCCCTGCCCCGGGGAGGCTTGATGGGACCACGCAGCTGTGGGAGCTCAGTGGCGCCATCTGAGCAGGGTTTGGAGGGAGGAAACATCCCTTTGTGATCGGCCATTTGGAGACTTCAGGGGCCAGCAGTGCCCTCCCCTGCCTGCCTCTCCGCAGCACGGGGCTGGGATGCGGGCAGCTTGTGGGAGGAGAGGGGCCCTGAGACCCCCATCCGACCGCACGTTCGGCTCATGGCGAGGGGCTGAGCCCATGGGGGTCTCCAAAAGGAGAGTGGAAATGCCCACTGTGTCATCCCGATGGGTCTGCACCCAACCCGGTTGTACCTCCTGGGCTGAGGGTGGCAAAAATGTCCTGGAAAGGGGGTGACATCTGGGTGATGGGGTCTGGCCCTGAGGCAGGGCTGGGACGGCCGTGCCCTTGCCCAGCCATGACATGGCCTCGTGCTCCCCCACCCCAGGGACCATCCTGGACATCACCCTGATCGCCAATGTGCAGAGCCTGTCCCACTCCGACTTCTTCCTCTCCTGCGTCATGGGGGAGCGTGACGTGAGCTACCTGCAGATCGAGCGGGAGAACAAGATCGTGATGACACACCCCAAGACGGGCTTCCAAAATTACCGCAACCGCAGCAACCACGTCCAGGCCCGGGGCTTCTCCATGGCCGACCTGGTGGGGATCCTCTACTGCCTGGGGCGCACCCCGACTGAGCAGGCCCAGGTGGTCTACGTGCACAACAGCCACAACGGTGAGTGGCTGGGGGGGTGGCGGGCAGCCCCCCGCCTGCCCTCTGGGTCTACAGGGGAGCTACCTGCCCCGTGCGTCGCGATCCCAGTCCCAGCCAGCGTGGGGTGGGGATGGTGGTGACCCACAGGCTACGTTTGGGGTCCACCAGCACCAGTGGGGTGGAGGGGGGAGGGACGTTCAGCTAGAGGAGCATGGCCGAGCCCCGCAGAGGTGCGCGGGGATGGACGGCAGCACGGGTAACCGGCTGGGATGGGAATGGTGCCCGGGAGCAGGGCAAGGTCCGAGAGGAAGTCGGGCGCCCTTGGAGGAGGCAGTGGGGTCTGG